TTGTTTGTTCATATTACTTCACAGTGCATTAACTAATGTTAACAAATACAACTTTTGATTTCAATAATGTAGGCTATATGGTGAAATTGACATTAAGAAAGATTAATTAATGATGTAGACGTGCAGTTTATTAATAGTTCATGTTAACTAATGTAGTTAACTAGATTTTAATAAATGGAACCATATTGTGTTACCGATTCAGAAGTCCCATGAGGACAGATCCGTTGTGTTAACCATTCATTAAAGTGACGCGTCATTAGCGGACGTGTACGCATTGTGTGGTTATCCCATCAGTTAGGACATCGCACAAAATTTGTGTCAACAAATAGTTTTTTTTAGGATAGATTTTTCCTTTATTGAAAGTGTGGTTATGTCAGCTGAATGTGGCACACGCCGTGAGAGAAGATAAGGCAACGTTTTTTTAGCACAATTCACACACAGCGGGAAATACATTTCCAATTGCGCCACGTGAAACTTCGGTCTTCCGACCTTTTACCATCGTGTCTGTCAATTGATTTTGATTAATATGAGCGAGGGAGAGAGAGCAAGAGTGAATTGAGTGCGCGCGCGCAGCCGGGGCTCTCTCTCTGTTCCTTCTTTCAGTTAACATGCACCCTGTCACAAGCGTAGCAGTCAGTCGTCTACATTAGGCTACTCACCGATCAAATATGGCTTTGGCGGCCGACTGATGACTGAAATAGAAGCGAACTCGCGAACAGGTTGGGCAGCAAGCCAGGCCAGCCGGGTACCCAGTTTGTTTCAGCGCGCGCGAACGAACAAACACCACGTCACATGATATCGCACAGGTCCTACTCGCAACATATAAATAAATCCACGCGAATTTTAGAACAAAGTCCTGCACTTAACACAAATTGAAACTCATAGGCCTAGTTGGATGGGGGTTCGAAAATTTACTACTTCGTCAGATGACGTTTACTACTTTTTACTACTTTTTACTGGCCTTAATTTGGCATAATTTAATTTACTACCTTTTACTACCTTTTACAACCCCGCGGAAACCCTGATCTATATATCTATCTATCTATCTATCTATCTATCTATCTATCTATCTATCTATCTATCTATCTATCTATCTATCTATCTATCTATCTATCTATCTATCTATCTATCTATCTATCTATCTATCTATCTATCTATCGTAATAATGTATGATTTGCAAAAATGAAAACTGCTGCTTAGGTGAGAGAATCAAAGTGTATGCGCGTTGTGCACACGCTACATTGATTATGGCCAAGCATGCGCCCTTAAAATAGCATAATGAACAACGCGCAACACGCCACTGACTTTAGACTAGTTTTTTTCTGGTCAGTGGCGCAATTGTTTTATAGAACAGCAAAATAGCATGAGGGAAAGTTTGCGCCGGAACACGCCTCCTCTTTGCGCTGAACCGCACCGGGGAGCGCAAGTGTATTTCATAGTTAACCGACGTGTGTCTGTGGAGGGAAAAGCCCGCTTTGCGCGGGTGCAAAATAGGAATGATACATGCGTCAGTGTACAAAGTCATTTGCGCGAGTGCAAGATAGGGCCCAAAGTGTTATTGAAGCCACGTGAAGCTTAAACATGTCAGTGAACTTTTAAGGAACTGGAATTAAAGGTGCAGTAAGCGATTTCTGAGAAACGCTGTTGATATTTGAAATCACCGAAACAAACACACCCCTACCCAAAGGACCACGCCCCTATCTTGATAGCTCCGCCCCCAAATTCACAAACACACTAATGCAACACAGGCACCAACACCCCCTCCCTAATGTGTGGACACGCCCCTTAAAGCTGATTGGCTACAGGTGTGTTTAAGCACTCGGGTCCACTTTTAACAAAGTTTCTCAGAAATTGCTCACTGCACCTTTAATTACAGTTCCTTTAAAATTCACTGACACTTTAAGCTTCACATGGCTTTCAGTAACACTTTTTGTTTGTGAATCAGACAAGTGAATTAGGATTGAAAACCAGGATAGTTCTGATTCTAGTCCCAGAACCGAGCACCGTGTTTGACGATGATGATGAAAACAGAATTTACCACATTTATAATGTTCAGATTGATCAGGCTTTTCCCCTTAACATCGATAGAGCAAATGTGAACAAGTCAGACCGGTTCTGCTCAGTTCTCGTATGCACAGATGAACATCCATAGCAAGACTTTCGCTCTAATCGAGCAAAAAAAGCCACATGAAGCTTAAACATGTCACTGAACTTTTAAGGAACTGTGATTAAAGGTGCAGTAAGCGATTTCTGAGAAACGCTGTTGATATTTGAAATCACCACAACAAACACACCCATACCCAAAAGGACACGCCCCTATCTTGATAGCCCCACCCCCAAATTCACAACCACACTAATACAACACAGCCACCAACACCCCTCCCCCTCCCTAATGTGTGGACACGCCCCTTACAGCTGATTGGCTACAGGTGTGTTTTAGCACTCGGGTCCACTTTTAACAACGTTTCTCAGAAATTGCTCACTGCACCTTTAAGTGGATTGGGATTAAAAACCAGAATAGTTCAGACTCTAGTCCTAGAGAACGTGATCGAATCTCACAGAAAGATCTCTGCAGAAGTTCTGCACATCATTAAATATTGTGGCTATTTACCACATTTATAATGTTCAGATTGATCAGGCTTTTCCCCTTAACATCGATAGAGCAAATGTGAATAAGTCAGACCGGTTCTGCTCAGTTCTTTCATCAAGTGCCGTATGCACAGATGAACATCCATAGCAAGACTTTCGCTCTAATCGAATCATGACCTGTCTGTTTCTTCCCGCTCTCCGTGTTTTCCGCACGCTCGCTCCTGGAAGTGCCACATCTCTTGTCCCGAGTCTTGTAATTGGAAATTTCAAATCTTCCTCAGCCGGCTGAAGTAACAAACCAATTCCCTGCCGAACGCGGAGAAGAGTCGCTCAAGACAGCCGGCGACGACTGACTATCTAAATGCAAATGTAGATGATTATGTCAAGAGCCCAAACACCAAATGAGGTTATTTCCTTCACTTCGGGCCACGTCACACTTCAGATTGGCTTGTTTGAAATTCCCCTCAAGACACGGAAGAGACCACAATCCTGGGAAACAATTCTGGGACAGTCCAGCGGCGATGAAAACGATCTCTTCCACGTCAGTCCGAGACAAGCAATTAGTCAAATTACATTTTTTTAATAATTGTTTTTTATGTCGGTCAAAAATTACTGATTTTTTTTGTTGTCAATTAAAAAAATGTACTATATTTTAGTGTACAATGTTTTTATGTAATATTTAGTATTTTTAGGCGGGTTTTTTTATACTAAATTATATTTACGCTGTATTTATAATCAATTTATTCACTTTTTGAGCGTAGACCTGAAAATTAAATTTCCAACTTAAACTGGAATCTTGAATGCTTTGGATCACAGACTGAAGTTCGGTCTCTTTTCAAAGACGACACTTGGCAGATTATTGCTGAAGTGTAAAAAGTGAAACCGAATTTTACTTGATTTATGAAAAATGCACAAAAATTCGTTTAGATTTATTGCTTTGATTTTCTTGCAGTTTTAGAGTAAAACAAGTTGTGTTACAAATTTGAGCCTAATATCGAAATAAAATTTGTTAATAAAAGATGTTGTTTGGTGGTTGTTTAATTAAAGATGTTGTTCGGTTGTTGTTTAATTTAAAATTAAATAAAAGATGTTGTTCGGCCGCAGTACCAAACGCTTCCACTAGATGAAATTCGTCTCCCATTCATTTCCAATGCGCTCATTTTTGACCGCGAGGAGCACAAGTGTGACTATTCTTTACAGGGCCATTTAACCTGTTTGAATCATGTCCATAATTTTTTTTGTGTTCACATATCAAGTGCTTTAAACTTTTGTCTAGCTTCATGCATTCTGTTTTTATCAACACTCGAACATACTTCTGTCAAATACTGTTTTCCGCCTACTGTATAGTAAGGAAGAACTGCGGTTATAAACACCGGAGCTGCAGACGTACAATAAGTGCATAATCAAAAATGACAGAATTTTTATTTAATTTCAATTAAATTAATGTACTATATTTTAGTTTTTTTATTTAAAAGTTTGTATTTTTAGGGGAGTTTATGGTACTAAATTATATTTTTGCAGTAGTTATAATCCATTTATTCATTTTTTAAAGCAAGACCTGAAAATGAAATGAAATTTCCAACTTAAACACTCATAGATCTTGAGTGGTTTGGATCACAGACTGAAGACTTTTTTCTCTTTTAGAGTGAAAAACGTTTAAAAAAAGTGAACTTAAAAGTTATAGAATTCTACGTTGTTTTTTTTTGTTATGAAAAATGCACAAAAATACTATTTCCAAAGCCATACATCTAAACAAGTTTTGTTCCAAATTTGAGGTTGATATCTCAAAAAATGAGTACGAGTTTGTTTGGGCGCAGTACCAAACGCTTCCACTAGATGAAATTTGACCGTGAGTGTGACTATTCTTCTCAGGACCCTTTAACCTTTTATTCCTTTTAATATTAATATCATTTAACCGTTTAATATTTTATCTAACCTTTTATTCAAAGGAATTTTTAGTCAAAAATAACCGAAGAGCACCAGAGGGTTAAATAAGCAGGCATCTGTGATTGAGATTTTGAACTGAAACCAGAACATTTGTCACAAAACACAAGAATTTGCAGAAAAATACAAGTTTATTTGGTTAAAACATCACCCAAAAAATAACACTGTTTAAATACATGTAACATACGAGTATAAAATGTGGAAAATAAAGGCAAGAAGGTAAACATTTGTGGTTAAGTTACTATAGTATTTCTGATGAATGTTTTTAGCCCTCCTCAACTATAAAAACACAAGTCCAGTAAACGCTTACCAGTAAAAATAGTAGATTAACAATTGTTCAAAAAGAGCATATTCTGTGATAAACCATTGCTTTGTGCTCATACGAAATTATTATTTTCATTTTTGTAGGCACAAAAGTGAAGTTGTGGTGTGTGCGTGATACAGTACCGTCACTGCGATATGCTGGTGTCATGATATTTCCATCCGCTACATCACTAACATACAACTGGAATCAATGTACATTTATAAAATGGTAAAACACTGATGTGCGTCAACATGCCGGTCATGATGGTCTTCTTCACATGAATCCAGAGCTGAAGGAGGAGAAACATGAGAATGTAATTATCAGTGCATTCCAGAGATTGCACAAACACGACGCCATCACACACACACATTGAGGACACACACATGATTTAATGCAACATGTCTAGGGCTGGGCATCGTTCAGAAGTTTACGATACCGTTACGATACTTTTTCCGATACCAATTTTATGCACAGATAATGTTTTATAGCAGAGGCTGTGACATTAATGTGAAGAGGGGAAAACAAGAAGGCTAAACTGTTGATGCAGCCGACCTGAAGGATAAGCACACTTTACAGGACACCTATTTTAATCAAGATACCTATTTTAATGCGAGTTAATTAAATTTCGTTTACATTTTTCTGGATTTGAATTGTTCTAGATAGTTAAATTATATTTATTTATTTAAAAAGTATGTGTAATTAATTGAAATCATGAAATTGTTCAATTTAACAGCAATTTATTAACTACGGAATCCCTGAACCGCAAAGTAAAAAAAATAAAAAATAAAAAAATAATCTAAAATTACGAGAATAAAGTCGAAATATTACTAGAATTATTTCCCGCAGTCTATGATTTTTGTTTTTGTTTTTTACATGGCGGTTGAGGGCTTCCGTAATTAACCGTTTAATTTGTAAAAAAAACAAAAACATTCTTAATGTTTTTTGTTTTTTTTCAAATTCAAATTTATTTTTACCCAGTTTTATTTTTTCTATATTCCATTTTAATGGTTTAAATCAAAAACATATCTAATTAATCGAATTCATAAAAACAACTTGATTGATTCATTTGCATACAATAATAGGGCCCTATTAATTTTTATTGTGCATTTTTGCATTTCTGGTAATCCACAAAAATTAAAGATTTTTTCAGTCGACACAGATTAATAATTCCTTAGGAACTCTGATAAACATGACAGAAAATACTGTGTGTTGGTCGGTTAATTAATAAGCAAATAAAAAATATTAGTTTTAAAATATGTATGGATATTTTTTTAAAAGGCAGGAAATGGCAAATTGATGTTAAATCACAACCGAGGGGTTTAATTATTATTATTATTATTATTTAGTGTACTTTTATTCACCAGTTTATTATCATATCTAAATATCTAACATTAACTACTTATTTATAATAAATTACATTCCCTGCTTTTTCACTGTTCATCTTATTTCCTTCTCCATTTGTTTAACATGTCTGCTTATTTTATACTGTTTTCTGGAGGTTCATTTTCCCCAAAACAGTCCAAATTTATGACAACAATAAAGCACGAGTCACATTTAGATTTAGTTTGGCTGAAGTCGAGTCGAGGCTCAAGGCTGATTGGTAGTTCAGTGGGTTCAGAACATTATAACGTGCATCTTCAAACCTGTAGGGCTGTCAAAATGGCTGAAAAGCTCAATTCTTTCTTAAATATTAGCAAAATTATTGAATTATACACGAATTCTGAAGGCAATACTTAATGTCAGAGGAAAAAAGGTAATGTATTGCCTCTTATGCCCACAAGAGGGCGCACACGAGTGCAACAAGCAAATATAAACCAAATCAAGCATTGCATCTTTTATTGAAATTAAATGACATTCACTTTTTAAAGTGCATTAACTTTTGAAATAATTGTTCTTAAATAAAACACATGCAAAGCACATGCAATGACTGTGGTAACTTTAACCATTGAAAGGATACTATGATTTTATCGCTTTTCTCATTCAAACTGATTTTCTTCTCCCATGAATATATGATTGACTTGAAGAATAAAAGCTGTATCATATACTTGGATATTTATATGAGCAATATCACGCTCATAGCCATGCAAAAAATATTGTTTTATCAATAAAATTAAAAATAAATTTCAATAATTCAAGCACTTTTTTAATAATAATTCAAATACTTCTTCATAAAAATGGCAGTTTTCAAAGGGTTTTTCATGACTTAAATTTCCAAAAGTCAAATTCAAGCACTTTAAGCACCTCGTACGAACCCTGTTATACGGTGACTTAGGCCTCGTTTACACTGGCAGTGAAATGTGACCCAATTGCGTTTTTTTGCTCATATGTGACACAGATCGGATGAGTTCGATGACCGTGTAAACAGGAAAAAACGGATATTTCGAGATCGGTTTCAGGCCTCGTTCATATGTGGAAATAAATCAGATATGTGCCAATGTGACTGTCATGTAAACGGGCAGATCGGAGTTTCTGAGGCATTAGGCTGCGTCTCCGTGGTTTAATGACGAGAGAAACCCCGACGCGCATCTGCAAAGACACGGACGGCCATGGAAACGTCATGTCGTCGTAGGACAGGAATGTGGACACACGTTGACACAACATATCAAAGGTTGGCTTGCTCATCCTAAAATTTCGTACCCACTGCGCCTCGTTAAAGCCCGGCACAATATGCTCCCGCCAGTCCTGAGGTCTCTCAATGATGGCACTCTTCGTCCTCCTCCGCCTCAAAATCATGGTGATGTTTGGCGCATATATCGCAGAGCTAGCACTAAGCATATTTCACGTTCGTCCATCTGTGCAAGAACCCCCTTTAAGCATGCGCGATGTTTCAGATAGTATGTCAAGTGTAAACACATTAATCAGATATGGGTCACAATCAATGTTCCCTCTAAGCTGCACGCGTGCAAACGTGTGGGGAAATCCATTTGATTGTAGTTTAAGTGAGAAATAATTGCAGTGCTCTGGTCCACCGCTATAGAGAGAAAACTGGTGAATGCAGTTTACAGGTTTCATAGAAAGAGAATGATGTGAGCGCGTGTGATTGGCAGTGAGTGTGTGTGTGGACCAAATACTGTAGCTCAATACGAGAGGCAACGAGAAACGCAAAGACGTGTGAAATAAAATCACATCATAATGTTTTAAAGAAGAGTGGTTTGATTAAAGTGGTGGAAATAACGGTTGATGGACACAGAACGGTGACAATTACACACACACCCGCGTGCAAACTCAAAATACATCATGCTTATGCTTAAATGGATGTTTTGTGTGGGGGGGAGTTTCAGGGATGGTTAGATTATAAAAGATTAGATTAGATTCACTTTTCTTGAAAATATTTAGCTATTAGATCTATTTAAATGCTTTGTTTTCATATTATAATAATATAATATGTAAACAAATTTAAGCATTTAAACTGATATATTATATCACTTCAAATACTTCAATTAGTTTTTTTTTATATTATATTAGGCCTATATTTTATTATATTATAAGCCTAAATAAAGAATCTCACAAGGGTATTGTTTAGGGCTCCTTGCCATTAAAAAGTTTGAAACCCCCTGCTAAAGAAAATATTGGAAATTCATAAGCAATAAACAATCATTCAACTTTGATGGTTTAATGCTTCCTGTACACAATTAATTGACTGTCAAAAACACTTTATGGTTTTCCCAAACCATCTCAGTGCAACAGCTTACTTTTCTTTTATACTATATTCTATTATTGTAAAGAACTGTCCTGCAGAAGATTTTGTCAATTATTTTTCATAGGATTTCTTGGTAAAGACTGTACAGTTAACAGCACTGTAAAAAAAAAAAAATCAGGTAACCTAAAATGTGCTTCATTTAGTGACTTCTTAATTTGTTAAGAAGCTTGTTTTTCGAAAATATGATTTAATACCAATAAGTTACATCAAGGGTCAAATAACATAGAAATGGCACATTCAAGTTAAAAGTTACAACTGAATGTTGAAACCATTGTGTTTCTACGTATGCTGTACAGGTCAGGTGTAAAGAATATTTTTGCTCAGGTGGCGAAAAATGTCCGCCCAATAGAAAAAAGTTTTGCTCAGCAAGAAAAAAAATTAGAGGGAACATTGATCACAATTGAAAGAACGTGTAAACGGACGGTCAAAAAAATCGGATATAGGCAACACATCAGAATTGGGCATCAAGACCTGCAGTGTGAACGAGGCCTTATAGGTGGATCTTCAAAGCTGCCTCTGTAACTGCGTTCAGCGCGCTCTGGGTTATACTCACTTCTTGCGGTCTTTGTCCTTCTTGTTGTTGGTGCTGGCGTTGAAGGCCTGGGCCTGCAGGAGCTCGGTGGCGGCTCTGCGCTTGCTGAAGGCGCTCATCTCGTCCTCCAGACTCCTGCGCTTCTCCTCCAGCTTGCTCTTCTCATCCGCATGCAGTCGCTTCAGCTGCTCGAACTTACCCTGCAACTGCACCGCCACAGCGCCAGATTCAGACTCTTTTATTCAATGCCAAAGCTATTTTCATGGCAAAAGTTCAATTACAAAAATACAAATATCACATAAAGGGTGAAACCTCGAAAAATTAGAATATGGTGCAAAAGTTCATTTATTTCAGTAATTCAACTTAAAAGGAGAAACTAATATATTATATAGAATTTCAAGCCTTTATTTCTTTATTTTTTGATGGCTTATAGCTTATGAAAACCCCGAATTCAAAGTTAGAATATTGTGAAAAGATTTTCATATCTGTAAGCCATAATCATCAAAATTAAGTAAAAAATAAAGAAATAAAGGCTTGAAATTCTATATAATATATTAGTTTCACCTTTTAAGTTGAATTACTGAAATAAATGGACTTTTGCACCATATTCTAATTTTTCGAGTTTCACCTGTAAATACAATAAAAACAAATACAAAAACAGCAAGTCTTATTATACAAGATTTTTTAAATTAACATATGATAAAAAAAAATACAAAACCGTTTCAGGCATAATCTTAATAAATATGTCCTTAAGTGAAGTCACTTCATAAAACCTTGTATTAAGTCCAGGACAATGCAATAAAATATGTTTGACAGATAAGGGAATCTTACAAAACATGCATAAAGTTGGGTCTTTACCTTTAAGTCAAAAAACCATGGGTCAAACTTGTGTGACGACATCTGGAAGTTGATTTTTTTTTTTTTTTAATGCTTGCCTTCTTTTTTTTTTTCTTCATATGTGTTGTTTCTTAATTTGTTTTATATTGTATTTTCTGTTTTGTATGAGAGATGTGTTTTTGTATATTCTTCTGTACAGCACTTTGGTATACTTCGGTCTTTTTAGTGCTTTATAAATAAAGTTTGATTTGATTTGATGGCTTTGCGAACCTACAGGGGAAACTCGAAAAATTAGAATATGGTGCAAAAGTTCATTTATTTCAGTAATTCAACTTAAAAGGTGAAACTAATATATTATATAGACTCATTACATGCAAAGTGAGATATTTCAAGCCTTTATTTGTCATAATTGTGATGATTATGGATTACAGATATGAAAACCTTTTCACAATATTCTAATTTTGAATTTGGGGTTTTCATAAGCTGTACGCCATAATCATCACAATTATAACAAATAAAGGCTTGAAATATCTCACTTTGCATGTAATGAGTCTATATAATATATTAGTTTCTCCTTTTAAGTTGAATTACTGAAATAAATGAACTTTTGCACCATATTCTAATTTTTCGAGTTTCACCTGTAGGTTCGCAAAGCCATCAAATCAAATCAAACTTTATTTAGCGATGTGTGTTTGAACCGCGAGAGGCGTCGATTGCCGTCAGTACGTTGTGCGTCAAGTTCAAGTCAAGACATGTTTTAATATTTCTTTTGTGACGTCAGAAACACCGTGTTTTTGAGACTGTCTTTGGTTTTTTAAGCAGAAAATACTCAGCAATGCTGTCGACTGATGAACTTACACATGGTTTGTCTTAAAGCGTATTAAAAACACCACATACACATATAAACAACATTAAACGCTGGACTTTAACATTAATAACCCTGAATGCGTGGCATCAGTCATGAATGTCGTACCTCTCTCTCCGCGTCTTTCAGCTCGGCCTCTTTCTCTTTCACTCTCTGGACGAACGTCTGCCGCATTTCTTCCTCTCGTCTCTGCAACTCGCCCAGAAACTCCTGCCGCTTCGCCTCGTACGTCTGCTGAAGACTGATGTGGAGAAACTGCTTCAATACAAAGTGCTTCATTCACAGAATATCAGCAGTGAACCTCACGATTTGATTAGATTTCAGTGAACCATCACAATTTAAATGCATCTCGATGATCTGTTGTTGTTAATCACATAAAGCTGTAATAAAATAACTGAATCAGCAGGTCTGATACACCCGTGTTCATTCAGTCGCATCACAGAAACATTAAACCGTGTTAAACAGCTCCTCTCGACTTCAGTTTTTGAGACCTGCATGAATGAAATTAATACAGTCTGTCCATGCAGAACAAACTTGTACAATCTCTAAATAAGTCATGCATCTCAGACTCTTTATGTACTAATATATCAATACATTTGAATTAGAGGTCGGTCGATATTGGAATTTGCTGATAGGATTATGTCAAGTCAGCTTTATTTCTATAGCACTTTATCCAATAGAAATTGTTTCAAGGTAAGAATGCAAAATTCATCAAATATGAGACAAATTCAATTTATGCTGTAAAGCGGCTCTAAAGTGTCATTATTCAGTTCAGTTTAATTAAAGGCAATACAAAGAATATTGTGCTGATGGTTTTAATTATAAACAAGCTTAGAATTCACAAGGACTCTTATTTTGAAATATATATGCTGACTACTTTTAGCTGCTCATTTACTTGGGATTATGCCAATTAATTAATGAGAATTCATTGATTATAAATGGCTCTGAGCCTGTAGAAAGTGCAACTGAATTAAAACATGCAGCGTTTACATTTATTTTGATTAATCACCACCTTCTGCATTTACATTTATTCAATTAGCAGCTTTCATCCGAAGTGACTTACAAATGAGGAGTTAGTGATTAATCTAAAATAAATACAGGTTTTTCATCCCCAAATTTAAGATCTCTTAAAAGTAAATTTTTAAAGACTTTTATTATGCTATTTAATATATTTAAGACTTTTAATGGCTTTAAATTGGATAAACCTGAATTAAATACTTGGATGCACCAAAAAAAAAAAAAAAAATCCAGTTTTTCTGTCCCCAAATCTAAGACAACTTAAAATATTCATTAAGACTTTTGTTATGCCATTTAAGAAATTTAATGGCTGTAAATTTGACCAAACTGAATTTAAGACTTTTTAAAGGACCTGCAGGAACCCTGTTGTCTTCTCAAACTTTAAAAACTCTCTCTTTGTGGCCTTCAAATCACTGAGGGTCTCGCTAAGAAAACCAACAGGGCCATTAGTAGAGAATCTGGTCCTCCAAGTGTGTGTGAGAGTTCAGGAGGATTTTCTGGCTTCTGTTTTGAAAAGCCGAGAAGAAATGCGTGGAATGTCCTTGTGAAGGAGGTTAAACAAACGGTTCCCATGCTCCCTTCTCCAAACCGCCTCATTAGTGCTTACGCAACAGTGGCATCTTACTTTTCCTTGCATGCATATTAAGGAAATTATATTTGATTTAAGAACAATTGTTTCAAAAGTGAATGCACTTTAAAAACATGTCATTTCATTCCAATAAAAGATGCAATGCTTGATTTGGCAATACATTACCTTTTGTCCTCTAACATCAAGTATTGCCTTCAGAATTCAAATATAACTCGAATTTTGCTAATATTTAAGAAAGAAATTCGAATTTAGCTTTTCACAGGGTTCCCACACCTTGGTTAACTTCAAATTCAAGGACCTTTCAAGGACTTTCCAGGTCCAATACCCTCAAATTCAAAGACTTAATGTGGGAACACATTTAATGTGTCCAACAACAAACGTCAAGGTACCATTGTGGTAGTTTCGTGCACGCGTGAACGTCATGGCAACGTACAACACAAAGCATGTCACGCGGGAAACACTTAACCCTTCTGTTCTGTTCGATTTCTGTGTACTCCCCTTATGGACCGGGTCAAATTGACCCTAATTGGATTCAATACAATTCCTCAAAAATCACACTATGAAAAACAACAAAGATTTAGATACAAACTGTAAACTTTTAATATAAGCATTTGTCAAACATTACAAAAACATTATATCTGAAAATATGATTTAAGAAAATGTTTTTAAAACATTTTTTAAAACAGTTTTGTTTTGACAAAATTGGAAAATAAACAGTATACTGATTTTTTTGCATATGTTTTTTTTTCCTTTTTTTTTTTTTTTACATTTTATGCTTTGAACATCGTAACTGAACAAAAAAAAATTGCTGTATAATGAAAATTTTTCATTTTCCTAAGTTAACTTTCCCTAGTTTCCTAAGACCTATTTTCCTAGTTTCATTATTCACTCACTGGGAAGTGAGAAACCAAACATAACAAAAACATACATCAAATAAATGTTTTTTATTTATTTTTTGGCTCTGTGAATCTGCCTTTGAAAATCCTACATAAAAGTTTTGGTTAAAAGCTAGGTATTTTAGATATTTTGAATATTGAAATGAGAGCTTATTTTACTATCTGTGTCTGACAAAGATTTTCATCTGTAATTTGCTAATAATTCTAAACACTGTAATTTTATCTTTTTCAAGTGTGTTTGGTTAGGGTTAGAGCACTTTTAGATGCACTTGCACGTTAGAACTGGAGTTGAAGTGCCCTGACATACAGAAAATAAATGTTTTTATTTTGTGTCTGTACAGTTGCTTTTGAATGGCTGTCTATGAGGGTCAAATTGACCCGCGAACATCACGAACGTAACAGTAATTTTGTTTGTATATGTCAAAACACATCAGCATGTTGAAACTTTGCATGCATGTTCATCATGATAAATGAGAAAAAGTCACAAAATATCAAGAAAAAAAATAAAGGTTAACCAGTATTTCCAACAACTTGAAAATTGAAACGGGTCAAATTGACCCGCAACATAACACAAGGTTAACGTAACGCGCAAATGCATGTAACTAACGTAAATCAAGCAAGCTAGTGTGCATAGGCCACGAAGTGTTGGCGAAATAAAACATTTGCAATAATATGGAATTTGATCAAATCACAAAATAAATTCAAGCACTTTTAAAGTACCTGTATCTATGTGTGTTTATTTTCAGAAACTTTCCAGGTCCTTGAACAAATGTTTTCAGGTTCACAAACTTTCAAGGACCCGTGGGAATCATAGACAGTAAAAGAAATGGACACAGTGACCCCATAGACTTCAACGGAGAAAAGGGAAGCCCATTAAGCCTAGTTCACACTACATGATTTTAAGCCCGATATGCAAATCGTTGAGCCCAGAAAAATATCTAGCATGCTAGATATCCAGAGCTGTCGCACGACTCAAGCTTTCGTCATTCTTCGCTGGGTATTGGCGCGCGTGCTGTTTCGCGTCATTTCCGGTTCGTTTTATCGCGTGATTTTTCGTGACAAAACGTGGTTTGTAGACAAGATAGAATCGTTGGGTGACCGAGTTGTTGTCAACGCGTGTAGTGCGTTACCTCCTGTTGCGGATCAATCACGGTGTGTCGTGTGGTCTGAACAGCTCAACAACTTGAACACTCCTGATTTCACAGAGAGCAAGTCATGTAGTGTGAACCGGACAGTTCAGCCCGACGTTTTAAAATCATGTAGTGTGAACTAGGCTTTAGAAGCACTCTCTTCCTGATGGCCGAGCGACTGCGCCGGCACAAACTGAGCTTGACGACGGAGATGTGACGTGAGCAACCGTTCTGACCTTCTAGTAGCCTAGCTGTGCCAAGTCAAATCTGAAACGAATCTGTTGTTGAAATATTTTGTCCCGTTGTGTTTATGAACTCTCTATCTATGGGCTTCTGCCTTGACTTTATGCCTCAATGTCCACCCGATTGCCTCAGACAGTAAAAGATTGCCTACGAGCTTCTCCTTCTGTCTACACGGTAACTTCTCTACTGTGCGACAGAGCGTCGCGTGTTATGACGCAATCGTTAGCCTATTTTTACAAAAGCGGCTTCTACGGGGCCATAACGTAAGATACAAGGTAATGGAGCCTTTTATACATTGTCGTGTTTCTTTAGAAATAACCAATGGACAAATGGATCTTTAAACGCCTCAGATGTAAAGTTATTCACTGTCAAAGTGACGCCAAAATGAATGGGAGTCAATGGAATGCTAACAGCTAACGGTCTGCTTCAATGGCGTCCCCCGAGCGAAGCTTCAGTTTCCGGCGGATGGATTACCCCCCTTGGTGGGAACCCTGTTTTCAGCCATCTTGCCAGCCCTAGTGAGCAGTCGCTGTGATGCGCCGGGAGACGAACAGCTCACCTGACGGGTTTGCACTCTGGGTCGGTGTCTTTGAAGCCCATCTCCTCCAGCTTGCAGCGTCTGTAAAGCTCGTAGTGGCGCGTGTGTGTCTGTTCCCGCAGATCCTCCATGTTCACGCAGATCAACATCTCGCGCAGCTTCACGAAGTCGCAGTGGTTCTCGTTCTCCACTGGAAGACAAACGCGCAGACGGTTACGAGAGCATGAGGTCATTATATCCTGCAGCATTTCAAAATAAGAAACAAAACAATGATATCATGATCAGGGGACTTTTAATTCCAGCCCGTCCTCGTAGACTGAGATTCGCAAGCGTTTATCATCAATATTGACTAGGGCTGTCACTTTTTGGGAAAAAATCCTGTTCGGTTTTGTTCATTGAATCGATTGTAAAATCGATTTTCCATGTCTAAAGACGTTTCCATTTTCAACACCAAATACAGGCAAATCCACGGACACCTAACAGGCATTAGGCCGAGCGTAAAGAGGCTTGAGACGCACAAGTCAGCAATATTCCTGATGATTTATTGGCGTGAAGTTTCAGCACAATGACAAACAGGAGCGCAACATTCAGGGATTGACATTAACACCCTCGACTCGCCAAATGCGCGTACAAATGAACTTTGGCGGGAAACGCTGTCAAATCACGAGCCAATCTGGCGTGTTTCTATGTTTACTCACTTTGCTGGGGAAGTTCGTGTAAAACAAATCTGCGCGGATTTAGTGCAAATCCTCAACTCGTGATCCTCATGATATATTAATACAGCGGATTGCAGAATCTGAGCATTTCTGGCTTACTTGAACACACACACACACACAACAAATAACGGCGCGCTTGTTCACTTGCATTGAAGTAATAGCGAATATTAAAAAGCATTTGGTGAACAGAAAAGACATTGTTATTTTCCAACACCCTACATGTTCTGTGTCCTGTACTGATCTGTCCACCTAAAACACACTTTTGGTAAAAAAAAAAAAAAGGCCGTTAAAATCGATTCCCTATTTTCGTTTTCGATACTTGTGTTGGTTGGTCCGACCGATTGTGCAATCGCTTTTCGAACATAAAGTGACAGCCGTAATATTGACTCACTTTACGTGTCACTCAGACGCTCTCAAAAACCTTGATTTGAAGGTTTTAGTATTTGTATTTAAAGCACTTCATGGTCTTTCCCCCACTTATATTTCAGATCCTCCACCCAGATATTAATGATCGTTTCCAAAAGCTCAAGGGTGACCGGGCTTTCTCAGTTCTTGGTTTAAAGCTGTGGAATATCTTACCTTTTTCCATTAGATCATCCCCTACTCTATGCATATATGTAATATATATAATTTTGAAAAATGTTGACGGCGTGCACATGCGTATTACGTGTCTAGTCTATAGGGATGCGCGTTTGAATATATATGTGAGCAGACGTGTAGTCCTTCTTTACAAATTGACCAACAAATTTCTTGTCTGGCCTTAAAAATGTATAATACAGAATTATTTATTGCTTCCATGTAGCCATGTGAACTGTAATTATTTTGACAGCATTTTATCTGTACAGAAGTAAAGGGAAGGGATAAAGGAAAATGGTTTACCATGTCAACACATGTTGTCGGCTGTAGTCACTTGGAATATTTTAACGATGTTTTTACTAACTTTCTGGGCCGGCAAGTTTCAATTATAAGAGAAGCCTATGGAGGAGTGATCCAGCTCTCAGATTTAATCAAAAATATCTTAATTTGTGTTCCGAAGATGAACGAAAGTCTTACGGGGAACAACATGAGGGCGAGTAATTACTGCGGCTGTCACTTTACGTTCAGAAATCGATTGCACAATCGGTCGGACCAACCAACACAAGGGAATCGATTTTAACGGCCTTTTTTTTTTTTTACCAAAAATGTGTTTTAGGTGGACAGATCAGTACAGGACACAGAACATGTGGGATGTTGGAAAATAACCATGTCTTTTCTGTTCACCAAATGCTTTTTAATATTCGCTATTACTTCAATGCAAGTGAACAAGCGTGCCGTTATTTGTTGCGTAGTGACGTGTGTGTTCAAGTACGCCAGATATGTGCAGATTCTGCAATACGCTGTATTTAATATATCATGAGGATCACAAGTTGCGTATTTGCGCTAAATCCCTGCAGATTTGTCTTACGCGAACTTCCCCAGCAAAGTGAGTAAACACAGAAACGCCAGATTGGATCGTGATTTGACAGCGTTTCCCGCCAAAGTTCATTTGTACCCGCCTTTGGCGGGTCGAGGGTGTTAATGTCAATCCCTGAATGTTGCGCTCCTGTTTGTCATTGTGCTGAAACTTCACGCCAATAAATCATCAGGAATATTGCTGACTTGTGCGTCTCAAGCCTCTTTACGCTCGTCCTAATGCCTGTTAGGTGTCCGTGGATTTGCCTGTATTTGGTGTTGAAAATGGAAACGGTTAAGACATGGAAAATTGATTTTACAATTGATTCAATGAACAAAACCGAACAGGATTTTTTCCAAAAAAGTGACAGCCCTAGTAATTACTGACAGAATTTTCATTTTTGGGTGAACTAACCCCAAGTTTAAGAGCGTTCATGTAAACGCACTCATTGACCTGTCTGTCAATTGCTGGCGTTTTGTAATCAAAGCCTCACCCTGCACGACTCCCCAGGGATACTGCCTCGCCTTCACCATTTTGTTTCCGATGTTCACCTCCTCCGTACTGCCAACAACAGCAAACGGAAGATGACCCTGGAAGAGCAAGCAAAACATTGACAAACATTGACATTGAACACTTACAAAACACACTATCCTTCAGTTTTAAAGGGTCATGAAACACTTAAACTACATTTGCAGTCATTCTCTGCACATCAGAGAAGCATCTATTCATTTTAACTCTTGGACAAAAGTGGTTTTAAATCTTAATCTTTAATTATTCATGAGACTGCGTGTCCTTTTCCTATGAGAAGACACTTCTCTTAATTATTCACGCTTTTCCTATGACAGATGCAGTGGGATCACGTACAGTGAGTGTGAGATGCATTCATGGATCACAAGCGATTGTTTGGTTTTGCTTTGTAAGTGTCCATAGACCAGTGTATCTGTGTATCGGGTCTTTAGAGCTACTTAAGGGGTCAAATTTGCTTTGATCTTGTGACATCTAAGAGTAACATTAGAGTCACCCTGAAGTCAACCATTTTATCCCTCATCTTTGATCACCAAAATAGCATATTTAAACGTTTTTTTCCTTGAAAAAGATTCTTCATGCCTGTATATATTTAAGAAAAATGTGCTATTTATATAAAAAATATTTATATAAAAGAAAATTATGTATAAATAATTAAATATATATATTAGTGCTGTCAAACGATTAAAATATTTAAATCGCGATTAATCGCATTAATGTCATAGTTAACTCGCGATTAATCGCACATTTTTATCTATTCTAAATGTCTCTTGATTTCTTTTTGTCCCATTATTTTTTCTCATTTTAATGCTCTTATCAACATGGAAAAGTGGATCGGCTTGCTTTGTGCAAATGTTTTTTATTGAAAACAACATTGGCATATACAGTGTTCAATTTCACACTAACATTCTCACTTGGAGCAAATAATCTCTCACACAATGTAACACTGTCCATCAATAAAAGGGTGAAAGAAATACTGACGAGGTCCTGATATTGGCGAGGGGGCGGAGAATTCGCATCAGCCGTGTGTGTGTGTGTGTGTGTGTGTGTGTGTGTGTGTGTGTGTGTGTGCTTGGCCATCATCAAGTGGTGTTTCAGACTGGACGTGCTGCGATGATGATAGCTCAGTTCACAACGACAAAAAAATAATTTTGCAACTTTTTAAAAATAAACTTTCAATTCAGAATCTTATTGGCCTCCATTTCGGGGTCTCGCACTCGTCATCCACTCAAAACGCAACGTTAACCTACTATATGGCCGGCTCGCAACAAGTGTGTTTCCGGTCTAGCTAGATCCGGTGCTTTCAGACAGGACGCGGAATGCGCGGCGCTACGCCAGTTTTCAAAACTTTTTGGATGCCAAAAGCGGCAAAAGTTGAACTATTTAGAATTTTGACTCTTGCGCTTTGGTCGACGAAGCAACAAAACGTCCTCGCGCGGCGCAAGCCATTGAAATGAACGGGTTTCATAGCGCAGCGCCACGCAGCGCCGCGTCCTGTTGCAAAAGCATGTGAAAAAAACTACAAGGTTTGCTAGGCCAAAAAGACTGTTAATCGCGCAATAAAAAAATGAATCGCGTTAAAATGGGTTTGCGTTAACGCCGTTAATAACGCGTTTAACTAACAGTCCATATTTAAAAGTTTTTTCCTTGAAAAAGATTCTTCATGCCTGTATACATTTAAGAAAAAAAATATTTATATATAAAAGAAAATTATGTACAAATATATATATATATATACAGTATATACATCAAGGGCTGGGAGGAAAAATCAATTAATCTAGTTATGGCGATTTTTTATTTATTTTATGATTTAAAAAATCTGTTTTTTTTTTATTACAGAATCGATATTAATTCAAATTAAATTGCTTTATTTTTGTCCTTGCTTATAGACGAGGTTGACAGAAGTCAGCCACTTTTGTTCCAACAGAGGATGAAATGTGTTATCTATGAGTGTTTAGTGACGTAATATCCTTTTTAAGTGGATGCGTGAAAGAGACGTGAGACTGAACGCGCTGCTCGTATGCTGAGAGAGAGATAAGACGATTCATCTTTAAAAAACTGTGATCTCGATTCAAACACCCACGCGATCTTTCATTTCGTCTGTCTGTTAAACTTTGACAAAATCATATTGCAACACTTAAATCTGTGTTGGCGCTGCCCCGGAGAGAGTCGTCATGAAACAGCTTCACAAAAGGTCTTTTAAACCTCATCATAATAGTATAATTATTTCTGTTATTCAATAGTTCAAATTATCACAGAAGTACTGGGATAAAAGTTTAAAGTTCAAATATAAACACTGATGTCTACGGTAGCGATCAAAATAGAGTAAATCAGCTTTTGATAGCGCCGCTTAAAATAACGCATTTACCGATTACATTGTTTGGCCACTAGGTGACGACAAGTGACTGTTACAAAATGTATTTGTTATTGAATAATTTATTCAAGAGAATGTAGTATTGTATGATGCTTTTGAAATAAAAGTCAGAAAGATGTGATGAATTGTTTTTGTAAATATGACTTACACTTATTCAGGCTTTACATCAGGGGTCTCAAACTCAACTTAACTGGGGGCCGCTGGAGGTGGAGTCGGGGTCAGGCTGGGCCACAAAAAATAGTATTCAAGTATTCCAAAAAAGGAGCACAACTGATCCAATCTTCTCAATATTTATTATTAACGTTTCTTCTGAACTGTTCCTCTGAATTTGAACATTCCTTTCTGTACATGATTGGTTCTTCATGAGCTGTCCTTCTGACAGTTGAAGTTCATTTTACAAACTTTCTTTGTCTATAACACATATTTGTGATATTTATATTTGCTTATGTCCTTTTTATTTTCTTTATACAACACATTAATGATATTGAATGTTTTTTTTTTTGGAAGGCACATTTCCTTTTATTATACTTAGAAAAACAATTATTGCTTTTGAAATACAAATATTTGCAGTCATGTCTGCCCGTCTTATTGAATTATTTCTACACATGTATAGTGTCTCAAATTACTGACTGCACAAATCAAAGCAAACCTTCTTATGAACCTGTTGGACACATATTACAAGCTCAAAATGATTATTCTCACATTGTTTTAGGCAGGGGTCTCCAACACGTCGCTCGCGAGCTGCCAGTAGCTCGAGGCCTGATTGGTGGCAGCTCGCCAAGGGGCCGTTCACATATCGCGCTCACATATTTTGCCCGCTCAAGTTCGTTATTTCAAATGTAGGCGCGTGGCAAGCGCGCTCATAATTGAAGCGACGCGCTCATTTTTTCCAGGCGCAGTATGTTTGTACTTCGCGGTTGTCTATGACAACTATTGACAACAAACCCGACGTAAGCTGTCACGAGACTATCTATGCTAGCCCGTAAGGGATAAAAAAAAATATTTTTTTTAAAACGCGGCACAGGCAACGACGGGCCGCACTAACATTAAACTTTAATGTCAAGTAGGGGGCCACAAAATTTCACCCCGCGGGCCAGGAGTTTGAGACCACTGCTTTACATGACGTATAAGATATTGATTTTACTTTTCCCCGATGCTCTAAAAAAAGCGCAAAATCGAATCGCAATTCTTTAAAAAGAAAACCGCGATACATATCATATCGGCACCAAAGTATCGAATCAGGCCTAATATACATGCAAATATTTCTTAAATATGTATTTATTTTAGTGTGATCTTCAGAACTCACATTCATCGCTGTGTTGATCTTCGCCACTGTTTCATCGTCAATCGGGAACTGGTAGATCTGCACGCCGTTGCTGACCAGCTCGCTCATGATCTTGATCTTGAACTTGTGTAACTCGCTCTTGGAGATGGTGTCGGCTTTAGCGATGACAGGAATGATGTTGACCTGAGGAACAGGAGCAGAGCGAGAACAGACTAAACTTAAAGGTGCAGTGTGTAGATTTTAGCGGCATCTAGCGGTTCGGTTCCGAGTTGCACTAATGGCTCCGCCCACTGCTCACCCCTCCCTTTTGAAGAAGCTACGGTGGCTCAAACGGGACAAACATATCATCGTCTGAGACAGCAGAGAATAGCCAGAGTAAGCCAAGTTTCTGTACCACAGTCCATTATAAACCACATCATGGATAAAGTTTACAAAGCCATAGTCAGGTGAGGATCAAGGGTCTTAATATATAATATAATAATAGTAATCAGCTGATTGTCTCACGAACGTAACCAGCACATTCTCCCCACATAGAAAACCCATAATACAGCGAGGGAGAAGAACCACATGAAACTATGCAACTATATATTTTTTCTAACAGGGAAGTAAAAGTTTAGCTGGCTAATATGAGCTGTTACTGTGGCTGAGCGGGTTAAAGCGTTAAGCCTTGTTTAAGCTCGACGCGTCCGCATGAGCGCAAAGGTGCGCGCGGCAGAAATGATGTGATTGTAACAGCGCGCGCGCCTCCGCATCCCCTAGACACCCTTTACAGGGTTCCCACTCTAAACCAAATGTCAAATTCCCTGACTTTCACTGACTAAAAAGATGACTTTCCATGACCTATAATGAATGGCAAAACAGGCCGCTGTTTTGCGGTGCACCGAGCAGACAAAAAACAGCCACAGACAGTGTTTTAAATCCAACCAATTTCAATGACAAACAATGTCCGATAGATCAGAAGTCATTCATTTCCTATGGAGAGTCACAAGGGGCTGCGTGAGGTGTTTTGGACAGTAAGATTTTTTTATGTTTTTTAAAGAAGACACTCCCCAAGCCTGCATTTATTTGATCCAAAGTACAGCAAAAACAGTACAATTTTGAAATATTCTTACTATTTAAAATAACTGTTTCTGTTTGAATATACAGTAGTCAACATTTGAAGTGGATCAAAAAAGTGCATCAAAGTTGTCCTAAGACAAGAACTCTTAAAAATCTTACTGTCCGAAAACTTTTGACTGGTAGTGTGGGTCTGAAATAATTATTTGATAAATATTAATTATTTAAGTCCTGGAAAACCCATAATATTTGTCCTTCAGAAGTAATGTTGGTAGTTTATCTAATGTGCATATATTGATTTATTAATTCTACCATGGTAAATTAATGAAGGTAAGGGCTGCGCATGATCAATTTTAAAATTATGTGCTACTGCCACTAGGGGCGAAATGCGACAATCGTATCCTAATGTCGTGTGCAGTGAAAAGGCTGCTTACCGTGACCCTTTTATAATGCTAAGTATGGCGCTCAAAATAGCCAAATCACAACAATACAGAAAGATGTGTGAAACAGCGCGATAAAAAAAATCGGTATAGAAAAATTACATTTTGATAAATGGAAACTAAAATTTAAAGCAACAAACTAAATTCCCTGATATTCCATGACTTGGACAAAAAATATATAAAATGTCTGGAATAGACCTTTTAAAATTCCATGACATTCCAGAAATTCCATGACCCGTGGGAACCCTGCCTTTACTACACACAAATTATTAAATAATAATGAATAAAAATGTTTTTTTTTTCTCTGGTTTTGAAAACTCTTCGCGATCGACTTAAAATGCTTCCAAGATTGGACTTGTCGCCCGCGATCGGCGGGTTGGTGACTCCTGTAACGTTACTGTTTACGGTCAATAGTACTAATCAGCTGATAGCAAAGCCATAGCACAGCGAGGGAGAAGAACTAAGTTACATGAAACAATCCAACAACATATTTTACACCACTGACAAGGGGAAAGTCACTACTCACGGTGTCTATGGCTAGCTTCTAGCTTTCTGCGGCTTCTCTTTCAAGGTAGTGACGAAACGCGCTCTGTAGCGCTGTGTGTTCGCTGTGTGTGTTCGCTGTCGGCTACGGTAGAAACATGACGTCACAATATGGCGACCTTCATAGAAGGGGATTCCCGCGCCTATGTAGATATAAATGTCTCATTCTAAGGTTATAAAAACATAACGGCTCATTGAGTAAGGTCTTTATACACCACTGAACACATAGTTATGGATCTTATATTGCATTTCTGTCAATAGAACCTCAGAAATATTACACATTGCACCTTTAAACAGGAGAACTAAACATAGAGAAACCACAGGTTCGGTTTCAGAACGAACATCTCAGACATTCCTTCTCTTTACAGAGAACAAACACAGTTCTGCCAAAACCAAAAGTCTCTATTCAAACGAAGCCAAACCTTAATTATTATATTGCATTTACATTTATTCATTTAGCAGATGCTTTTATCCAAAGCGACTTACAAATGAGAATAGAAGCGGTTAAAGTGCTGTGACCCTTCCCAGTTTAATCTAACATTACAGACTGAATCTGTAAACATAACATCTGTTCTGCTGCTTCCTCACACTGAATTAGAGGATTTTAAAAAGGCATACACAAGTTTATAAATAAGTTTTCCAGCAGGTTTACTCAATCATCTCGTCCAGATGAAACAGTCCTGACCGCTTTCTTCTCATGCCTTCAGGTCGTGTCTGAACAGTCTGGTATTCACAAGATTCATTCACAACAACGCAAAAAACAACAACAACCCAGAATGCACGACTTTTCACGTCATTTAACGTGTTAAAAAATTGGGTCAAATGGTTTCCATACAATTTGGCACAAAAATGGCACTATTGAAAACCACTAAAATATCTATTTCTATTGTGTTAGAGGTCAATTTGACCCACATATTTTTATGTTCAAAACTAGCTGCACAAACATGAGTATTTGCACATTGGGATGCAAATAACTACAAGTATAAATAATATCTAACATTATTTATATTTGGTGTAATAGTATGTATTGCTATTTGTACTAATTCTACCTTTTTGTCTGGTTCTCAAACCCTTATAACGGTAAAATGTTTTTTCACATTTCTTCAACAAACTAGCAACAAAAAGTAAACTTAAGTTTAATAAGTTCTTATGTATTTCATATTTTAGTGTTTGACAAGCTATAATTAAGGTTTTCTGTTTTTCAAAGTGTTGATTTTCTGGCAAATTGCATGGAAATTCGTGATTATTGATTTGTTTTCGTGATTATATTGATTAATCGTCTAATTGTGGGTATTCGATCTAATCGCAATTAAGATAACCGCGATAATTGTGCTGTCACATTTAGCCAAAGACTATAGAAAAACACTGTTATAAAGTCCACAAAGATTGTCAAAGGTCTTCGTTCATATAAAATGGGTTGTGGGTTTAATCAGACTGCATTATATTTTATATTATATCATGAAACATTGTCGAACTGTGTCAAAAATTTGCATGCAACACACATGAACCTAAATGAGAAATATACACAAACATTTCAAGAAATAAATAGTTTAAACAGTGTTTCAGTCATTTTGAAAATCGAATGTGGGTCAAACTGATCCAAACACAACAGGATTAAAGAATCATGCGGAAATAAATTGATTTACGTTTAAAGGGGTCCTATAATGCCCTTTTATTTCTTAAAATAAGTCTTTGATGTCGCCAGAGGATGTTTATGAAGTTTTAGCTCAAAATACCCCACAGATATTTTTTATAGCATGTTAATATTATCACTTTTTGAGGGTGAGCAAAAACGCACCGTTTCTGTGTGTGTCCCTTTAAATGCAAATGAGCCGCTGCTCCCGGCACAGGGGGCGGAGCTACAACAGTGTGACCTGAACATTTCTAAAACTTTTAGCCTTTTATGCTCAAACCGGAGCCGGACAAAGATGTAGAGACTCAAGAAGAACATTTCTGAATGGTTAGTTGATGAATTTATGTAGCTGATGTGTCATTGATTAGCATATTCTGTCATGATAATCTATAAATCGTGTTCCGGGGGCGGGTTTATGTAAATTTTAGGGTTGGTGATGTCACTAACCCAGGAGGAAGCTCGTGTAGTTCTACCAGCCGTTTGTTGTAGTCCTTAAAAAGCAATTTCTTTAAAAGAAAAGCTCTCCCTTTGCTTTGAGCTTTGAGTGTTGTAACTTTGCAGATGTTGTTTATTCTCAAACTGCAACATTACACACTGACTAAAGTTAGAAAAGTGAAATCATAATCAACCACCGCTTTAACTTGTGAACATTGGCTGTTAGTTTCAAACGCATGTGTGGAAAACATGACGGTCTAACCTTACTGTCCAGCTTCTTCATCGTGACCAGATCCAAGGATTTGAGCGAGTGTCCCGAGGGAGCGATGAAGTACAGGCAGGCGTGGATCCGGGAGTCGTGGTAGTTATGAAGAGAGCGCTTAATCTTCAGCTCCTCTTGTAAGTACGACTCAAACTGTGTGTCAATGTAATCCACTATGTGCTGGTAACTGGAAGAGAGAGAGGGAGAGCTTCAATATATGCACAAATGTTTTAGTTTTTTTCTTAAATATGATTTTTCATTATTTACATTCTGTGGTGAGCAGGACGGCCGAGGGACGTGAGAGAACGTCGTGAGGCCGGTGGTGCGATTGCTAATGAGCAGCACCTGGGAAGCACACCGGTCTCGCATCTCTCACGGAGGAGCGGAAGCATAAAGGGGGAGCGACGGAGTGGATGATCGAGAGAGGAACAGGCCTGCTTTTGTTTGTTTTATTTTATTTTATTTTGGGTAGCCAGCAGTTCCGTGAGGGACTGCTGGCAGGTATTGTGTTTATTTCATTTAAATAAAGTTTTAATTTGATTGTCCGCCGGTTCCCGCCTCCTTCTTCCCTGAACATTGCTACACATTCATTCACTTTTAATGTACTACAACAATGGTGCATCACTATCAAATAAAAAAGTGCATCCAAACAATTGCACAATTCAAAATACTCTCCCCGTCTGCCAATGGTCATGGTAAACCGGAAAAACCGGCCACTCCCACAAACTAATGCCATTGGTGGAGACAGTAAGGTAATTTACATAATACTATAATCAAAATACTGTGGGTTTTTGTGCAGTCGAGCAACAGTTTTATCCGCATACATCCAGTACATTGACTTAAACTCTTAAAGCGATATATACTGTATAGCAATGAATATATACTTAAAGCGATATATACTTCATATGTCAACTGCTTTATTTTTTATTAAAATGTACAATACTAGAGGGTAAAAAGAAAGGCGAATCATTAGTGTATATATATATATATATATATATATATACTTTATTTATATATTGTGTGTGTGTGTGTGTACATACACTCACCGGCCACTTTATTAGGTACCCCATGCTAGTAACGGGTTGGACCCCCTTTTGCCTTCAGAACTGCCTCAATTCTTCGTGGCATAGATTCAACAAGGTGCTGGAAGCATTCCTCAGGGAGTTTGGTCCATATTGACATGATGGCATCACACAGTTGCCGCAGATTTGTCGGCTGCACATCCATGATGCGAATCTCCCGTTCCACCACATCCCAAAGATGCTCTATTGGGTTGAGATCTGGTGACTGTGGAGGCCATTTTAGTACAGTGAACTCATTGTCATGTTCAAGAAACCAATTTGAAATGATTAGAGCTTTGTGACATGGTGGAAGTAGCCATCAGAGGATGGGTACATGGTGGCCATAAAGGGATGGACATGGTCAGAAACAATGCTGAGGTAGGCCGTGGCATTTAAACGATGCCCAATTGGCACTAAGGGGCCTAAAGTGTGCCAGGAAAACATCCCCCACACCATTACACCACCACCACCAGCCTGCACAGTGGTAACAAGGCATGATGGTTCCATGTTCTCATTCTGTTTACGCCAAATTCTGACTCTAACATCTGAATGTCTCAACAGAAATCGAGACTCATCAGACCAGGCAACATTTTTCCAGTCTTCAACTGTTCAATTTTGGTGAGCTCTTGCAAATTGTAGCCTCTTTTTCCTATTTGTAGTGGAGATGAGTGGTACCCGGTGGAGTCTTCTGCTGTTGTAGCCCATCCGCCTCAAGGTTGTGCGTGTTGTGGCTTCACAAATGCTTTGCTGCATACCTCGGTTGTAACGAGTGGTTATTTCAGTCACTGTTGCCCTTCTATCAGCTCGAACCAGTCTGGCCATTCTCCTCTGACCTCTGGCATCAACAAGGCATTTCCGCCCACAGAACTGCCGCTCACTGGATGTTTTTTCTTTTTCGGACCATTCTCTGTAAACCCTAGAGATGGTTGTGCGTGAAAATCCCAGTAGATTAGCAGTTTCTGAAATACTCAGACCAGCCCTTCTGGCACCAACAATCATGCCACGTTCAAAGTCACTCAAATCAACTTTCTTCCCCATACTGATGCTCGGTTTGAACTGCAGGAGATTGTCTTGACCATGTCTACATGCCTAAATGCACTGAGTTGCCGCCATGTGATTGGCTGCTTAGAAATTAAGTGTTAACGAGCAGTTGGACAGGTGTACCTAATAAAGTGGCCGGTGAGTGTATATATACACTGTGTGTGTGTGTGTATGTGTGTGTGTGTGTGTGTGTGTGTGTGTGTGTGTGTGTGTGTGTGTGAGTGAGAAACAGGAGCATTTCAACTGCTTTATTAATTATATCATTGCAAAATATAAATATATTATCGCCCAGCTTTAATCTACTATAAGGCATGAGGAAATTAAGATGTTATAAGCATTAAAGCTGCTTTGAAAGATTGTGTATAGATTTGACTTGAATAATGCATACAGACTGATGCAATATCTTGCTGAATTAAGTTAAGCAACAATTGCATTATTCAGGTCTGGCAATTTCGGTAAAAAAAAACCCCGAATAGTTTTTCTTCAATTTATTAAATATTTTAAACTGTCAAAATTATTGTTTTAGTTTGATAGAAATTGAACTGAGCCAGAGAGAGCCGTTGTCATGAAACCGCTTCACAAACTGTCTTTTCTAACACACTTTATCATTATTTCTGTCTTACAATTATTCAGATTATCACTGGATAAAGGTTTATAGTTCAGATATAAACACTGATGTCTACAGTAGTGATCAAAATAGAGTAAATCACCTTTTGAATGTAACTTGATGCTTCAAATAACGATTGTGTCAATTACATCGTTACACCAGTAGGTGGCGACAGGTGACAGTTAAACATGTGTGAGTCATTGAATCATTCAAGAGATTCGTTCAAAAACGCTGATTCGTCCAGTAATGAAACAAGTGAAGTCTTTATGAGTGAGTCATTGAATCATTCACTCAAACCGATTTTTTTAAATAATTCATTCAGAATAATTCAATATTTTTTTTAAATAGACAGCAGCAATTAACATTTTGTAAGAAAATCTAGTAAATTACATGCTATTTTGTTTCATTGCCTGTTTAGAATCATGGGAGATTCTATTTGAAACAACAACAAAAATCATGATTATCAATTTATCTAGAATCGTGCAGCTCTAAAGTGCATGTTAACATACTTAACGTTATTAATGTAATTAACAGGACTGACCTCTCCTGCTTGTTCATCTGATCGCCAAAGCCGACGGTGTTAACCACAGTGAGCTTCAGACGGACATTACTCTCCTGAAGATCGTACGTCTGCGCTCGCAACTTCACCTTCGGTTCAAAATGAGAAGACTCGAAATTCTCAAAATTGGTGTTGAAAAGCGTGTCCATCAATGTTGATTTGCCAATCCCAGTTTCGCCTGTGAAAAAGAAAGATTTACGATATAAATGCTGCTGATTTCAGAAGTATTATTACCTGTATGCACTCATATTCACGACACAGATCTTGTTCAGGATGGACGTGAATGCTTGAAGTCACAGCAATATCGAAGCTTGTTTCTGCCACGGAATAAAGTAAAAAAGGTAATTGCGACTTTTTATCTCACGATTGCTTTTTTTTTTCTGAGTACTGCGATACAAACTCATAATTCTGACTTTTTTCCTCGCAATTGCGAATTTTATTTCCCCCCGAATCTGACTGTTTTCTCAGAATTTATTTAAACTCGCAATTCTGACTTTTTTCTCGCAATTCTGAATTTGTTTCCCACAATTCTGACTTTTTTCATGCAATTCTGAATTTGTTTCCCACAATTCTGACTTTTTTCATGCAATTCTGAGTTTATTTTCCACAATTCGGACTTTTTACACGCAATTCTAAGTTTATATCCCACAATTCTGACTTTTTTCTCGCAATTCTGAGTTTATTTTCCACAATTCGGACTTTTTACACGCAATTCTAAGTTTATATCCCACAATTCTGACTTTTTACACGCAATTCTGAGTTTATATCCCACAATTATGAGTTTATATCCCACAATTCTGACTTTTTTGTCGCAATTCTGAGTTTATATCCCTCAATTCTGAGTTTATTTCCCACAATTCTGACTTTTTTCTCACAATTACGAGTTTATATCCCACAATTCTGACTTTTTTCTCACAATTACGAGTTTATTTCCCACAATTCTGACTTTTTTCTCACAATTACGAGTTTATATCCCACAATTCTGACTTTTTTCTCACAATTACGAATTTATATACCACAATTCTGACTTTTTTCATGCAATTCTAAGTTTATATCCCACAATTCTGACTTTTTACACGCAATTCTGAGTTTATATCCCACAATTATGAGTTTATATCCCACAATTCTGACTTTTTTGTCGCAATTCTGAGTTTATATCCCTCAATTCTGAGTTTATTTCCCACAATTCTGACTTTTTTCTCACAATTACGAGTTTATATCCCACAATTCTGACTTTTTTCTCACAATTACGAGTTTATTTCCCACAATTCTGACTTTTTTCTCACAATTACGAGTTTATATCCCACAATTCTGACTTTTTTCTCACAATTACGAATTTATATACCACAATTCTGACTTTTTTCTCACAATTATGAATTTATATTCCACAATTCTGACTTTTTTCTCACAATTACGAGTTTATTTCCCACAATTCTGACTTGTTTCGCAATTACGAGTTTATACGAGTTTGTGTACAGCGGTAAAAATGCGAAATCAGACCATTCTGTTATTGCTTTACATCTTAAAATCATACAATCTAATTAAAATACAACTGCTCAAGCTACATGTGTGTAGCATCTTTGTTTGGATCGTGAATTCAGTGGTTGCCTCTAATTTCAAATGGCTACAGATTTTGTCAAAGGCCTGTAATAGAACACAAAAACAACAAATAAATTTACTTATAGAAAAAAAAAAAAAAATCGCTAACCAGTATCGAAATTGGCTAATTTGCTTGTAAAAAAAATAAATCTTAATTGGTCGCGAAAAATCATGATCGTTGCATGTTGTTTTCTATCAATTGCTAGTTTATATCTCACGATTCTGACTATTTTCACGCAATTGTGAATTTATTTCCAAAGATTCTGACTGTTTTCTCAGAATTTATATAAACTCGCAATTCTGACTTTTTCTCCCAATAGCGAATTTATTTTCCAAAATTCTGACCATTTCCTCAGAATTGTGATAGAAACTCGTATATCTGACTTTTTAATGCAATGACTTAAAGGACATAATCAGGTTTGCGAGAAAAATCTCAGAATTGTGAGTTTGTCACAATTCTGAGGAAAAGAGCCAGAATTGTGAGATAAAAAGAATTGTGGAGTATAAATTCTCAAATGCGAGAAAAAAGTCAGAATTGAGAGTTTATATCCCACAATTATTAAAAAGAATTGATATAAACTCGTAATGAAGTCAGAATTGTGGGATATAAACTCTAAAAAGTGCCAGAATATTCCGAGCCAGAAACAAGCAATCACCCACCATAACAATAATTAGCCTACCTTTTCAATGCATTTTTGGCAGCCGCATCTGTCAATCAATTCAAACTACCATAATGCACATCTCTAGTACTTTCCAGTCATTATCCTTACCAATGCAGAGGATGTTGAAGCAGAATCCCTGACTCGTGGACTTGTTCACCAGCTGATCTGGCAGACTGTCAAAGCCAACATGGCCTGATAGAGCCAGCGGACGGGCGTTCTTGTCCTGGAAGACACGAGTGAGAGAGAACATGAACACCTCGCTGTGACACTGGCCGCTGCTGCTAAACGCAGTGTTGGAAACCGACAGAGAGCTACAAGCTGCTTTTCAAATCATTCTAACATGTCTCTATCAGATTGACCCCAGTTAAAGGTGCAATGTGTAATATTTCTGAGGATCTATTGACAGAAATGCAGTATAAGATCCATAACTATGTTTTCAGTGGTGTGTAAAGACTAGGCCTGTAGCGGCGCGTTGCTGTTTCGTCCTCGATTCTGCAATGTTTCGGTCTCCCACGTGTGTGTGGCGAGCTGTGCCGCCGGGAACGGTGCAAAAAAATAAATACATAAATAAAGAAGCGTCGACAAAAAAATATGACGTCGACGAATTTTTGACGTCGAAGCGTCGACGTCATATTTTTTTGTCGACGCTTCTTTATTTATGTATTTATTTTTTTGCACCGTTCCCGGCGGCACAGCTCGCCACACACACGTGGGAGACCGAAACATTGCAGAATCGAGGACGAAACAGCAACCTCTTCACAGAATTCACAACAAAGCCATGCAAAAGTCCCAACAAAAGAAAAAGTCCTAAAAAAACCCCAGCTCGCACTAAATCATCGAAGGTATGGGAATACTTCAAATTTAGTCCCAAACGTAAAGGTATCGTTATTTGCGCTCTTTGTCAAATGGAGTTGACATCCCAAGTCTCCCGCATAGTGATAGCGGCTCCCTGATGACCGCAAATTAGTTAAAATCTCCCGGAATCTAGAGCTCGCGAGCTCCAAACCGTGTAGCGCGCGCAGAGAGGGAGAGAGCGAGAGACCTTGTGCGTGTGTGCCTTATGAAGCGCATGTAAACCCCACCCCCCGTCAACAAAACCGAAAAATCAGTCCGGATGTTTTTTATGAGCACTGAAAACATTAAAATGAGCACCACATCCAAGTGTGATAGGGCTCATTTGAGTAGCCTACCAAACATTTTACAGTGTAGATACTCTGTAAGAACCAGATCAAAATTGTTGTGCATTGAATGTGCACTCCTGCAATTTCCATGTTACAAAAAAGAATCGTTCAATTAGTCGTTAGATTAGTCGACTAATCGATAAAATAATCGACAGACTAATCGTTTAATTAATAATCGTTTACCCCAGCCCTAGTAAAGACCTTACTCGTTAACTTACCGTTATGTTTTTATTACCTTAGAATAAGACATTTATATCTACATAACCGCGGGACCCCCTTTTATGAAGGTCGACATATTGTGACGTCATGTTTCTACCGTAGCCGACAGCGAACACAGAGCGCGTTTCGTCACTACCCTGTAAGAGAAGCCGCAGAAAGCTAGAAGCTAGCCATAAACACCGTGAGTAGTGACTTTCCCCTTGTCAGTGGTGTAAAATATGTTGTTGGATTGTTTCATGTAACTTAGTTCTTCTCCCTCGCTGTGTTATGGCTTTACTATCAGCTGATTAGTACTATTGACCGTAAACAGTAACGTTACAGGAGTCACCAACCCGCCAATCTTGGAAGCATTTTAAGTCGATCGCGAAGAGTTTTCAAAACCAGAGAAAAAAAAACATTTTTATTCATTATTATTTAATAATTTGTTACGATCGCTGTTACGATCACGTCATTTCTGCCGCGCGCACCTTTGCGCTCATGCGGACGCGTCGAGTTTAAACAAGGCTTAACGCTTTAACCCGCTCAGCCACAGTAACAGCTCATATTAGCCAGCTAAACTTTTACTACCCTGTTAGAAAAAATATATAGTTGCATAGATTCATGTGGTTCTTCTCCCTCGCTGTATTATGGGTTTGCTATGTGGGGAGAATGTGCTGGTTACGTTCGTGAGACAATCAGCTGATTACTATTATTATATTATATATTAAGACCCTTGATCCTCACCTGACTATGGCTTTGTAAACTTTATCCATGATGTGGTTTATAATGGACTGTGGTACAGAAACTTGGCTTACTCTGGCTATTCTCTGCTGTCTCAGACGACGATATGTTTGTCCCGTTTCAGCCACCGTAGCTTCTTCAAAAGGGAGGGGTGAGCAGTGGGCGGAGCCATTAGTGCAACTCGCAACCGAACCGCTAGATGTCGCTAAAATCTACACACTGCACCTTTAATAGATATCATAACTCATACTTCACACAGTTTCACATCTTTCAATTTGACAAAAATTGGTCTCACGGCCTTCATCAGGGATACAAACATTCAAACTCAATCCCTTTTAAAATAATCACATGACCAATCAATGTAAAGATCCATTTGCAACCAATTAGGCTAACTAACGCCACATCATCATCATCATCACACATCTTTCAATTTTAATAGATTCTCAAAGTGGCGTCAGACTTCTAGATCTGCTGAATATTCGATATAAGATGTATAGCAATAATTGATTTTAAGGATGCATCGATATGAAAATTTTGGCCGATATCGTTAATTTCTTTATATTTGAAAGCCGATAACCAGTATATTGGACGATAAATCTAAATCCAAATTTTTATATCATTTTTAAAAGCCTGATTACAAAAATCAAAGTCTCATCATGCAGACAAATATAATGATGTTCTTATTATAATTGTGTGAGCCGATATGACAGACTAGCGCTGCACTTTACTGTATTTTACTTTTTTTTAAAAGTGATTCTAATCATATTTAAAGCAATTCAAAGCCATCATGTTGACCAGTTCGAATCTGAAGTGTCTCAGCTGAAGGATATAATCCATTATTTAACGGCTTTAATATATCAGCCAAATTTTAAACATTAAAAATGAACATATAAAGCCTGGGCTATCAGCAGATAGCGTTATGGTGTCCAATTATATCGTGCATCCCTAATTGCTTTAACAGAAAACGTCAAATATTCCTAACAGGTTAATAACTTCACAGTATACTTCTTTAAAAAAAAAAACATCAAATGAAATATTATCAACTGTTTCCAACATTGATAATAAATAATTAATAAATGAGCATCAAATCATAATATATTAGAGTGATTTCTGAAGGATCATGTGACACTGAAGACTGGAGTAATGATGCTGAAAATTCAGCTTTGCATCACGGAAATAAATGATATTTTAAAGTACATTCAAATAGAAAACCACTCTTTTAAATTTTAATAATATTTCTCAATATTGGCCTACTGTTTTTTTCTGTATTTTTGATCAAATAAATGCAGCCTTGATGAGCATAAGAGACTGCTTTCAAAATTCACATTAAAAATAGTAATGTTTACAAACAATTCATATTCATACATCATATACATACATGTATTCAAATAGATAAATCAGATAACTCTATTCGAATCGATTATTTGGATGTTTGTATTTTGATTAACGATTGATAAATATATTAAGGTTTCTCATTCAGATTCATAAATCAGATACATGTATTAAAATAGATAGCCTAAATCAGATAACTCTATTCGAATCGATTAATCGGGTGTTTGTATTCATGTTGTTTGTATAAAAGAGGAGCGGCAGTGAGTGAAATAGTTGAGCGCCGCCGGTCCAGACACTCCCAAGCGCGCTCACGCCAACTCACTCCCACTGTCACAAACTTCACACAGTCATAGAAACGAGAAAAGAGTCAGAACCTGGAATATGTGGATCTCAAACGTACCATCTGTCGAACCACATCAGAGGATGCCATTTGCGCGCAGGAAATTTGCAAATATTTGGTGAAATCTCGGTTCTCTTTCGGGTGAAAGTCAAAAGTTGCTGTGACCCGCCTCGTCCAAATAATTCCAGCTGACACACCACTGGGAACATCTGCGCTACCATTTCGCAGTTTTTGAGAGGGTTTTGTCTGAATTTTAGTCGACAGAGTTTTACGACTTCACATGCCAAATATGTTAGCGAGCACTTTCATTCACCTTTATAACATTTTTAACCCAAATGAAAGCTACAACGCATTGTCGACTTCATTAAATATTACCTCTAATGTTCAGAATATTCTCAATCCCCCTTGTCCCAGCAAAGTGGTACGTTCCAAGTACGGACTCGCCCTGAGTACTGAGGAGATGTAACTGGAAGCCATTTTGGCTCAACTCGAAGCCGCCTGCAGCGTTAACGCCGAGCGCGTTTGAGCCAGAATGAAGGTTCCCTGTACTCCAGTTTCACATCAGTGATTTTATTCTCCCAAGAGGAGTTGCTAGGATGCAAACATCATTATAAGCTCTACCGACCCCTGTCTGACACACTGCGTACAGTACTCAATCTCATCTACAACCTACTTTTAATACAAGACGCCCAGACAAACGATTTATCGATGTCCGATGACGTTAATTTATTCAATCGCTTATGTATAAATATAAAACATGATATAATGGCGACGGGGTGCACGCAAGAATCCGTTCTGGACTTTCTATTGGAAAACGGGGGGCGTGTGAAAAACAAGGACTTGATAGCGCATTTCAAAGTCTTCCTAAGCAGTGAAAATACGAAGCGAGCCGTGTTAAAAGAGAGATTTAAGCGTTTTGTGGACAATATCGCGTACGTGAAGCAGGAAAACGGGGAGAAAGTGGTGTGTTTGAAGAAGAAGTACAGATACGCGGAGATACGGAGCGGGCGCGCGCAGGATGAGAAGCCCGATGATGTGGATGATAATGATGATGATGATGAAGAAGACGTCAATAAAGGATTGAATGCTTTGCATTTAGCAGAGAACGGCAATGTTAAGGCAGAAACGGGTGAAAAACATGATCTGAATATAAAATCTGAGGTGCACGCAGGCGCTGTGACTGTCAGAGATGCTGAATGTGAGGAGGTGTGTGTGTCAGACATCGCACTGATCGAGAAAGACAGTTCTTCCGTTTCTCACTGTGATCTCTCAGAGGGATCAAATGATAATGATAGCAAATCAAGTGTTCCAGAGCTTTCCAATGCCCAGCCAACCGGACAGCCGGAATCTAGGGCAGGGGAACTGGAGTTGGAGGCTCCAGTTGGCAAAGCTTGCGTCACATTATCATCATCATCTTCATCACAGGTCATCACTATTCGCCGGAGAACATCGAGGGGATCTCAGCGCAGTTTGCTGGGCTCTTCTGAGGATGGTGCACAGCCACATGATGGACAGTCTGAGGAGGCCAGCACCCCGAAAGGCAGCCGCAAGAACTTCATAGAGCTCATGAAGAGCAGTTCTCCACAGGTGAGACTGACTGGCGCAAATGCCTGCAATATAATGCATATAATGTGTAATACAAATGCACTTAATGCATATGCACGTAATATATAATGCAAATGCACATCATATATAATGTAAATGCTCATAATGCACATACTATATAATCTAAATGCATATAATGAATAATGCAAATGCACAAACTGTAATACATATAATATGAATGCACATAAAGCATATTAATATATAACGTTAATCCAAACCAATATAATATATAATGTAAATGCACATAATGCATGTAATATATAATGTAAATGCACAAACTGTAACGCATATATCAAAATACATATAATATATAATGCAAATGCTCATAATGCATATAATATAAAATGAAAATGAAAATACTGTAATGCATATAATATATAATCCAAATGCATGTAATATATAATGCAAATGCATATAATATATAATGCAAATGCACGGATTGTAATCCATAATAACATATAATACGAATGCACATAAAGCATTAAATATGTAATCTAATTGCACGTATTGTAATGCATAATGCAAATGCTAATAATGCATATAATATATAATGCAAGTACTGTAATGCATATAATATATAATGCAAATGCACGCACTGTAATGCATATAATATATAATACGAATCCACGTAAAGCATAGGCTATAATATATAATGCAAATGCACGTAAAGCATATAATATATAATATGAATGCACGTAAAGCATACAATATATAATGCACATGCACGTATTGTAATCCATAATAATACGAATGCACATAAAGCATTTAATATGAAATCTAATTGCACGTACTGTAATGCGTAATGCAAATGCTAATAATGCATATAATATATAATGCACATGCACGTACTGTAATCCATAATAACATATAATACAAATGCACATAAAGCATTTAATATGAAATCTAATTGCACGTACTGTAATGCGTAAGGCAAATGCTAATAATGCATATAATATATAATGCAAATGCACATAATGCATATGATATATGATGTGTACATGTAATACACATGCAGGTGAGGCGCTCCCTGGTGCATCGCAGCCACGGCCACATGTCCTGCAGAAACAGTGAGTTTAGATCGTCCTCTGTGGAGGAGGACTGTGCGTCGGTAACCTTAGACCCGCTGGAGCACGAGTGGATGATGTGTTCGGCAGATGGAGAATGGGACAGTCTCCAGCGGCTGCTCGTGTGTGAACCCGCACTCATCTCCAAGAGGGACTTCGTGACCGGCTTCATGTGTCTGCACTGGGCGGCCAAGCAAGGCAAACTCGAGCTCTTCGCAAAGCTGGTGGATTTCGCCAAGCGGAACAACGTGTGCATCGACGTAAACGCGCGGTCGAGCGCCGGCTACACACCCCTGCACCTCGCGGCCATGCACAATCACGTCGAGGTGGTGAAGCTCCTGGTCGGGGCTTACGATGCCGATGTGGACGTGAGGGATTACAGCGGGAAGAAAGCGTCTCAGTACCTGAAAGACACTGTCACAGGGGACATTAAAGACATTATAGGGGATTGCACGCACTCGGGTATGGAGAACGCGTCGGGAGCTGGCCGATGGAAGCTTCCCAGAGTCCTTCCGTCAAACCTGAACCCGCTTCGGCTGCTGAACCACCCCGAGGAGATCGCAGGAGATGCCAAACCGAGGTCTCTGTACCGGAAGTCCTCCATCGGGCGGATCCGGCTCCAGAGGAACCGCTTCAAAACGCAGATCGTCCACAGCACTTCATTCAGGGAGAACGAGGAAGGAGAGGATCCGCTCAAGAGCCCGGTCAAATCCAGGCCCGTTTCAAATCTCTTTGGCTGAGATGGGGGTGTGGGACGTATAATAGATGCATATGCAAATTATGCAAATCAGCAGCCTGACGGCGTGATTTAGATGTTTTGGAAACACTTTACTTAAAGAGTCCCTTTGTGGTGAAAATCAAGTTTTTAATGTGGTGTTTTTAAAATTAAACTCAGCATTGCTGAGTATTTTCTGCTTAAAACTGCAGTGAACCAAAGACAGTCTCAAAAACACGGTGTGAAATCGCTGGTGTTTCTGACGTCACAAACGACCTTGTAACCAATCAGATCAACGTGTGATCGCCAACCAGTGGATCTCTGAGCTGAGTGAGTGAGTGGAGGCGAGGCTCATTTGCATATTCATAGCACCGCGAATACTAAGTGAGGCAACACAGCAAGCAATTTTACGTTTAAAAGATGTCTAATAGCCGTTCAAACAGCCCAGACGACTAAACAAGGCAAAATTTGGGCTGTCAATTAAAATTTAATAGACGTTTAAACCATAGCCCAAGAATTGACTAGTTATTAATACATTTAAATATCATTAAATATGTCATTTTGGTGATCAAAGATGAGTTTTAAGCGATACAGTTATTGAGTACTGCGGGACTTTAAAGCCTTTATGTATAAAGGTATTCATAATGTACATTATAATGCATAGTATATGTTCATGAATTATTGTAACAAAAGTTAAAATGCATTATAATATTTGCAGATCTAACATTTGATGTTTGTCACATGTTGGTTTTAATGCATTATACTTTTTAAAGGAGTATTATAATGAATTATAACGGCGGTTACAATGCAATCATATGAGATCATACAGTGCAATATGAGGTGCATAAATAAAGCATTAAAATACTTTTATAATGCATTATATAAAGGCTTTAAGTAAAGTGTTGCTGCTTTTTAAAATAATATTTTTTTTATAAAAATAAGTATAAAATTACTGAATTGATTAACATAAAGACTAAAATAAAAATAAATAATGCATCTAACAGTATGGTACTTTAGTGAGTAGAAAAAACACAATCATGTAATAGAAACTATTTTCCACATATTTCACAGTATAAATTGGGTTTTTATACATGAGAATATATGCAGAGCTGCCTTTTACATTTCCAGGATGATCAACTGGAACGATTTTTAATGCAATCATCTCTTTCCATAAAATTATGCACGACTATTTTAGGTAACACTTTATTTTACAGTGTCCATGTTACATATGTTACATGTACTAACTTACCATTGTAATAACAGTAAATTATGCATAATTACATGCAATTAACCCTCACCCTAACCCTATACTTAGAACATGCAGTTGCTTAATATTACTCAGTACTTAAATACATAATTACACTGTAACTAAAACACCTTAAAATAAAGTGTAACCCTATTTTATTTGAACGACTCTCTAATGTAAATATTTATAGATTATTTCTGAATTCATCTCTCCACGGATGCACTTTGTGTTTGTCCTGTTTAAGGTGCCGTGCCTTTAATCTTCCAAACGCAGGAATCAACATGCATTCAGACTGTTGTCCTACATGTGTGTGTGTGTTTGTGTTGTAGCGACGTTTAAAAAGCTGCTTTAAGAGCACGTGTAATTCCAGGACCAGTTACTTTAACCCAATGCACTTTCAGCTGATCTAATGTACTAAGCTTTATGATATTATTAGACCTCCTATAGAAAACTAATCCCAAATGTGTCTTTAAAGTGCCTTTATTGATTATGAAATGGACGTTTTAGACACTTGTCATTTTAAAATAGCCAGAAATACGTATATATAAAGTTCCTTCCAACTAGATGTTTACATTTCCTGAAGACAGTGTGAGTGTTTTTGTCTCTGTGATGTTCATGTCTGAACAAATGCTGGAGTTTTGAGCAAATAAAACGAGGAATGATTCTTAAATGTCACTGAAGTTTAGCGTCTGCTGTGAGTTCATTATTCAGGATCTGATCAGATGTTTTACTGGATATGTTGAGGATGAATCATATGGAAGCCCATTAGATAAGAAATTAAAAATAAATGCTTTGGTAAATCTTAAATATGACGTGAAAGTCAAAATTATTACATAAGTCGAACTTTTCCCCCTTAAGGCCAATTTATACTTCTGCGTCGGGTGCGCGCAGTAGGTACGGCGTAGCATACGCACAGACGCGTACCATACGCCGTACCCTTCGCCGTAACCTGACGCGCACCTCCTCAAAAATGTAACTACACGTCGCGACGACGCGGACCGCAAGATCTGTGATTGGTCGGCTTGGTAGCATCGCGTTTCCTCCTATGCATTTCCGGCGTGTTCTTCTGCACCGCCCGCCATTTTTAAATTCTAAGTACAGCGAAACTGTTAAAAAAACAAAAAATTTACCTTTTCCACCTCGATAAGCTCCAACTCCAACATGATCTGCTCTCTTTCAGTCGCCATTGCTTGTAGTAACTTAAACTCAAAACAGCCGCGAGGAATCTTCTTCTTCTTGCCGCGAGGAATCTAAACACAGTGGAACATTAAAACCCTCCGCCGCCAACTAGCGTTTCGGCGCTGTACTGCAGAGCAACGCAGACCTAAACGCAGAAGTATAAATGCTCATGACGCCGTCGCCTACGTGCGTAGCCTACGCCGTACACTACGGCGTACACTCGACGCAGAAGTATAAATTGGCCTTTAGAATTGGCCTGATAACTCGCAATTGCGAGTTTATATCTCACAATTGTGAGAAAAGATGTCAGAATTTCAAAATATAAACTCGCAATTATGTGTTACAAAGTCAGAATTGCGAGATGTAAACATGCAATTGTGAGATAAAAAGTCGCAATTCTGTCTTTTTTTCTCGCAATTGCGACTTTTTTTCTCATTATTGCGACTTTATATCTCAGAATTGCGACTTTATATCTCGCAATTGCGACTTTATTTCTCATAATTGCGACTTTATATCTCGCATTTGTGACTTTATTTCTCATAATTGCGACTTTATATCTCGCAATTGTGACTTTATTTCTCATAATTGCGACTTTATATCTCGCAATTGTGACTTTATTTCTCATAATTGCGACTTTATATCTCGCATTTGCGACTTTATTTCTCAGAATTGCGACTTTATATCTCGCAATTGTGACTTTATTTCTCATAATTGCGACTTTATATCTCGCAATTGTGACTTTATTTCTCATAATTGCGACTTTATATCTCGCAATTGCGACTTTATTTCTCAGAATTGCGACTTTATATCTCGCAATTGTGACTTTATTTCTCATAATTCCGACTTTATATCTCGCAATTGCTACTTTATTTCTCAGAATTGCGACTTTATATCTCACAATTGCGACTTTATTTCTCATAATTGCGACTTTATATCTCGCAATTGTGACTTTATTTCTCATAATTGCGACTTTATATCTCGCAATTGCGACTTTATTTCTCAGAATTGCGACTTTATATCTCGCAATTGTGACTTTATTTCTCATAATTGCGACTTTATATCTCGCAATTGCTACTTTATTTCTCAGAATTGCGACTTTATATCTCACAATTGCGACTTTATTTCTCATAATTGCGACTTTATATCTCGCAATTGTGACTTTATTTCTCATAATTGCGACTTTATATCTCGCAATTGTGACTTTATTTCTCATAATTGCGACTTTATATCTCGCAATTGCGACTTTATTTCTCAGAATTGCGACTTTATATCTCGCAATTGCGACTTTATTTCTCAGAATTGCGACTTCATATCTCGCAATTGTGAGATAAAAAGTCGCAGTTATTATTTTTATTTTTTTATTCAGTGGCGGAAACAAGCTTTCATATGTTTTACAGGATATGTTGAGGATGAATCATATGGAAGTCCATTAGATAAGAAATTTTAAAAAAAATGCTTTGGTAAATCTTAAATATGATGTGAAAGTCAAAATTATGACACATGTCAAAAGTGTAGTGTGACTTTTTGACTTTTTATGTCAGAAATGTGACTTTTTTTATCAGAATTATGACAACAAGTTGAAATTATGACAAGCCAGTTATGATGAGACGTCAAAATTATGATTAAAAAAGTATTTCGTCATCATTTCGACTTTTCGTGTCACAATTTCAACTTAGTGCAGTATATCAGAATTATGATTTTCTTTATCTCATGATTATGGTTTAGTATGTCACTTTGATGTCATAATTGTGAATTCTCTACTATTTACATCATAATTATGACTTTTTCATAATGCATGTGTCCTAGTACGTCATAGTTTTGACTTTTTGTGTCGTAATTATGATTTACAAAAGCATGATTTTTCAGAAATGTCCTTGATAGCATTAAACTTCTCACAAACACTACACACTTATAGTTCATAATTAATTATGTTCTAATTATAAGTCAGAATAACTGGGAAATTCATTCAACTTGGTGAGTTTTTTGTTCTTTTTATCTTGTCAATGTATTTTTTTTACACAATTGAATCAAAAACTGCTGGTTCTTTCTCATGACGTGATATGACAGATACACGGGTAATTTAATAACATGTACGACAGCTTTTATTGCTATTTCAACACTTGTCCTAACAAATCCTTCCACAACACTAGTGTGAACATCCTCCATTTCTATTTCCTTTATCACAAATACATTGGGACTAAAGGAGACATGTCTATATAAAAACATAAATAAACTATTATATTTGTTTTATAAAAACAAAAATAAAATGAGTGTTTTTTTAATTCCTCCAAAGAACTTTTCAGTGATCAAGAACCATTTTTGTCTTCGTATAAAGAACATTTTATATTAAAGGTTCTTTATGGAGCCATCAATGCCAATAGAGAACCGTTATTGTGGAACAATTCATACTCAGGTTTCTATTTGAAAGTCATTCCAGGATAAAAGCCTCAAACATCACATCATCAGTCATGTGACATACGGTCATGTGCAGAGTTAACAAACATTAAACTCCTTAATCTGAGCGGCAGGATCAGAAACACCACAGAAATGAACATAAAAACACCTTATAATATCCTACTATTGTACAAATGTCAAATCAATGCTATAAAATTCACTCATTTTTTGATCAAATTCTTGAATCCATGCTTTTTTTCCCCTTTGAAACATTTTCTAAGGGGGAAAAACTCCTGGAGTTAACACTGAGATTTGCAGATTAACATTGTTTCTCGAGCTGCTGACGTGCAAAGTTTGAGAGTTTAGTCTTATTTTAACATCAGACCCCATAAACTTCTACTTTGCATTATATAATAGGTTAGAATTAGTCATAAATAAGAATGATGCATCGACTTTTCTGTCCACTAAAACAAGGTTTTTCAATATTTTAGATGCCAAATATGATCTTGACCCCGTCCGTAAATTTAAAATAATTTAAAATCAAAAATCTTTGTTATAAACATCCAACTTACACTGACAAAAATAATATTATAAATCTAAAATTTGTATTAAGTTGCATTATTATATTTTTTTCTACTCACTATTATTATTAGCTATTATTTGTTTATATATTTCATTTAATCTATTTAATAGATATATATGTAACTGATTTTTTTAATCACATTTTTATTATTTTTAAATAAAAAAAATTATGAAAACCCCTGCCTTAAGATGAATGTAAGAAAGAAAATGTTTCTAAAAAATCTTTTTAAAGGATAGATTATAATTGCTTCATGTGTGCCTCTTTTTATAAACTATTTTTTCAATTTTTTTCCCTCTTACCAAAAAAAAATAAATAAAAATAAAATAAAAAATAATAAATAAATAAAATAAAATAAATATATAAATAAAATAAATAAAAATAATGACAAATAAATAATTATTACAGGTCTGCTACGTCTACATGTGTGCCTCTTTAAAAAAATTGTGTAAAGAGGTTAGATAATTTCTCTATTATTTTAAACATAAATAATATATATATATATATATATATATATATATATATATATATATATATATATATATATATATATATATATATATATACTTTTTAGAAGCATATCATATTTTTTTTTATCATGTTTTATTTTATTTTTATATATATTTTTAAAGTTATTTATCACATCATGATCTAAGAGTAGCTTTATAATCTGACTAACAGATATGTGTCTTGAGAACTTTAATTCAGAACAAACTTTATTTTGATGAATTCGAAGTAAATTGAGCTACAGGGCAATCAGTCGCCACGCGGGGGCAGCAGAGCTCCTCTACAACTTCCGGCTCTGTGTGACGTATGCGGAAGCTGTAAACATCATGTCCGTTTGTTTCAACTGTGAGCGGACTGCTGTTGTTATTCATGCTTCAGTCCGAACAATTCAGAAAGGTTAGTAAACATTTACTTGTCTAAATATGATTCCCTTCATCTGTGCCCATGAGTTGAGTGTCACTATGGCCCGTTTAAACTGGTCAATGATTCCGATATCAATAACCATCAATATTCTACACATCATCATCTCTCGCACTAACTGTGGGTCTGATCTCTATATTATTTAATCTGTCTAATGAGCGATTCATTCAAATAAGTGACTCTCTGTAAGGTTTAATGTAGTGATGTTATTATTAGTTATATGGACCGAGTTTTACACCAAAAAAATTATTATGGTAGTAAAATCATAATAAATTCTCAAACAGAGACTCTCTGTGATTTTTCTGTACACTGTCTTGTTGTAATATTAATAACTAGTAACGTTACAGACTGAAATATCACCCAGTATTAGTTCATGATCATCAGTATCAGCTGGAATCCAGAATCTATCAAAGGATAATAGACTAAATTCACAAAGCATTTGAAAAAAGAGTTTATGTAATGGTATTTTATTATGTGTATGAGATGTTCATGTCAGAAAACCACTGACATATAAACCCTCCAATATTCAGATCTGTGTTATTTTAGGATTATTAATATATTATTGTATGTATGTATTCATATTTTGAATTAGTTTTTATTTGTATATTTTCAATCTAAGTTTTAGGCCTAGTTCTTTGTGTTTTTGTTTCGTCTATTTTTTAATATCTGTTTTTTTATTATTAATTTTAGTTGCGTTATGTTCCGTTTTAGTCATTTTAGTATTTCTACATAACTAAACTATCTGGAATTTTTGCTGAAAGGTTTTTTATTTCAGTTATTTCCTTAATTTCAGTTAGGCTAACTCCTTCTTTTTTAGTTACAAAAGTTATTTTCAGTTTTAGTGAAAACAAAAAGTAGAAATGTTACCCAGTCAACTAACAGAAATCTTTACTGAAATATACTGTTCAATTAACGTATTTAGTTTTAAGTTTTAGTAATTTTGTTTTGTCATTTTTATTATTATTTTTTTAGTTCTAGTTTTTATTGCAACCATCAGATTGAAGCTCAAAAAAGTGAATCTATCCATTATTCAAGTCAAGTCAAGTCATCCTCATTTATATAGCGCTTTTAACAATGGAATGTTTCAAAGCAGCTTTACAGAGATAAACATATAATTTAAGGTAACAGAGATTGTTTCGGCTTTATAGCGGTTCTTGAATAATGTTATTTCCAGCTAAAGTTAATTTTGATTGATTCACCTCAGTCGAAATGATCAGACTTTAAACTAAACCTGTGATTAACGCTGACGGCGTTAAAAAGTGCATCTATCCATGATAAAAAGTGCATCTATCCATTATAAAAGTGCATCAATCCATCATAAAAGTGCATCTGTCCTAGGGCTGGGCGATATGGAGCAAAAAATATATCTCGATATATTTTGCTATATCTCGATATTCGATATATATCTCGATATCTTTACAGGAAAATGGATGTGAATACAACTCAAAATATAGGCCTACAATCAATAGAAAATTAATTTTCCATAACAGAATGTAACCAAATGAGAAAAATTAAACACAGGGCCTGAATTTCGTCATCATTATTAATCACGTGATTCATATACAGAAACTGAATAAAGTAATCAAATGGAAAATAACACTGAGTAGTATTTTAGTCCTGAATAAATTAAATACATAGGTTATTAATCCTGATTCCTTTAACTTAAAGCTATCTTTTGTTGTATTGACAACAAAATGAATGACACACATATGGCTGCCGTCACTTTAAGAGCTGGTGCACGGATCCTGTGTTCATTATACTGGCATGCGTTTTATGCTTATTAAAGACAAAACCGACTATGTTTAGAGTATAGCCTACTCACGACGACCGAAATTGACAATTTTGCGTGTTAAAGCAATATAATCCGCGAAAAATAACTTTTGTTACTGGCCAGCTGTTCTTAAGGCGGATTTTCTATGAATGTGCGCATAGAAAATAATCTCTCAGAGAGCGCGCGAGCACTGATTAGTTTAAAATCGCTTGAATGTTTAAACTGGTAAGACTTAAAAAGACGTGCAAATGGTAAACTTCAGTCACGATCAGTGGCGTAGCGTCTGGGCATGCAGGGTATGCACGTGCAAATGGGCCCGGGCCGATAGGGGGCCCGCCCATGGGGAACTTTTAATTAAAACGAGTTAATTCATTTTTAAACTGTAGCCACAATAAATATATTTTTTGTATGCATGTCATGTGTAATAATTTCTTGTTTCTCCATAATGTCTAATTTCTCCGCCATTTCTTGTGTGCATTTATTATGCGTTTATTAATTTTTTTTGCACCCCGCGGCTGCTGTAGAACTGTACCGTCATTTTTACGGCATCGCCGCGTCAAATTAAAAAAAGAAAACACAGTGTGAGAGAGGTTACTAGACGCTAGCTAATTGCTCGTGGATGAATTTGCCGAAAGAAAGGCCCGGAGAATGCAACTAAATGAGTAAGTAGTTTTATGTTTTTTACATTTTGGGCCGCGGTGCCAAGATCAGTAGTTTATTATTGACATTGGCTGAGCCTTGGTTGGTTTAGACTCGTTTTTGTTCCGTTCTGGTTGTGAAAAGTTGTTGGGTAGAGTGTTTTTTATGGTATTGTTTGGTATGGTATTTTCTTGATACACTACAGTGAACGTCTAACATGACATCATGACTTTGCGTAAACATACACGCCACTTTCAAGTCAAGTAGGGGGTTATCTATACGCATTTTGAGCTATCCGCGTGTGTGTCCACGCCGAAATTAACCGTCATCTTTTGCGTGTATGTCTACGCCGTTAAATGTCCGAGCGAAACGAAGCAAAATTCATATCTACATCTGTGGAGCAATATTTTTTTCCTTGGATGTTAGGGGAAGACTCATAAATAGTATTAACCCCAGTGACGGGTAGGTTTTAGGGACGGGGTTGGGGTAGGTCATATATTTATATATACAGTAATAACGTTAAGTCAACGGCGTTGATAAACACGCTGAAAAGCGATTATGCGTGTTGATAGCACGCCAAAAATGGAAATACGAATTGGCGTGTCATACATACGCCACTCCGGGGGGAGGGTTAGGGGGGCCCGTACAAATTTTTTTTGCATATGGGCCCGGGACTGACTTGCTACGCCACTGGTCACGATGCACTGCTGGCCCGATTGTGCGAGTGAATATCCATCATGTCCCGACTCCTAAACGCGAGTGTGTTTTATCGCCGCAGCTCTTGATGCTTGCCTTGCACAACACATTATGAGAGACGAGAAAGAAGCGGCACCGCTGAACACTCACGCTGTTTGTGAAATTGCGTCTGGCAGATAGTTGTTAAAAGAATGATTTGATTTTATAATCTGTGTGGATTACGATTGCGGGAATTTCCCGCATTATAAATGGGAGACCTGCGGGAATGATTAGAATTATGCGCAATACCCGCGCCGAAATTCGAGCCCTGCAATAGTTTAAAACAAGACGTTTGTAGTAGCCTTCTGATTACTGGAGTCCATTAATCGAACTTCCATGCCTCTTATATAGTAATTATATATTGTAGTATGTAGGCTACCAATTTACTAATGCAATTAATGCTCACACTCGGTTTCTCTCGTGCTCTGTCGCTCGCGCGCAGACACACTCGGAGTTCTGTAGCCTCCGGGCTGGTTGCGGATGAGACAATTGTTGAATGAGACACGCGAGGTGAGGGGGAACAAAAGCAAGGAGGCGGGGGCGAGCACAGCACAGAGAAGGCAAACAAGCAAAGTGGCGAAATCAGGATTAAATATAAACAATATATCGATATATACGATATGTCAAAATCCATATCGTGTTTAAAAAATATCGAGATATCGCCCACCCCTAATCTGTCCATCATAAAAGTGCATCTGTCCATCATAAAAGTGCATCAATCCATCATAAAAGTGCATCTGTCCATCATAAAAGTGCATCTGTCCATCATAAAAGTGCATCTATCCATGATAAAAAGTGCATCTATCCATGATAAAAAGTGCATCTATCCATCATAAAAGTGCATCAATCCATCATAAAAGTGCATCTATCCGTGATAAAAGTGCATCTATCCATCATAAAAGTGCATCTGTCCATCATGAAAGTGCATCTATCCATCATAAAAGTGCATCTATCCATCATAAAAGTGCATCTGTCCATCATAAAAGTGCATCTATCCATCATAAAAGTGCATCTATCCATCATAAAAGTGCATCTGTCCATCATAAAAGTGCATCTATCCGTGATAAAAGTGCATCTATCCATCATAAAAGTGCATCTGTCCATCATAAAAGTGCATCTGTCCATCATAAAAGTGCATCTATCCATCATAAAAGTGCATCTGTTCATCATAAAAGTGCATCTATCCGTGATAAAAGTGCATCTATCCATCATAAAAGTGCATCTATCCATTATAAAAGTGCATCTATCCATCATAAAAGTGCATCTATCCATCATAAAAGTGCATCTGTCCATCATAAAAGTGCATCTATACATCATAAAAGTGCATCTGTCCATCATAAAAGTGCATCTATACATCATAAAAGTGCATCTGTCCACCATAAAAGTGCATCTATCCATCATAAAAGTGCATCTATCCATCATAAAAGTGCATCTGTCCATCATAAAAGTGCATCTATCCATCATAAAAGTGTATCAATCCATCATAAAAGTGTATCTATCCATCATCAAAGTGCATCTATCCGTCATAAAAGTGCATCTATTTATGATAAAAGTGTATCTATTTATGATAAAAGTGTATCTATCCATCATAAAAGTGCATCTGTCCATCATAAAAGTGCATCTATACATCATAAAAGTGCATCTGTCCATCATAAAAGTGCATCTATACATCATAAAAGTGCATCTGTCCATCATAAAAGTGCATCTATCCATCATAAAAGTGCATCTATCCATCATAAAAGTGCATCTGTCCATCATAAAAGTGCATCTATCCATCATAAAAGTGTATCAATCCATCATAAAAGTGTATCTATCCATCATAAAAGTGTATCTATCCATCATCAAAGTGCATCTGTCCATCATAAAAGTGTATCAATCCATCATAAAAGTGTATCTATCCATCATCAAAGTGCATCTATCCGTCATAAAAGTGCATCTATCCGTCATAAAAGTGCATCTATCCATCATAAAAGTGCATCTGTCCATCATAAAAGTGCATCTATACATCATAAAAGTGCATCTGTCCATCATAAAAGTGCATCTATACATCATAAAAGTGCATCTGTCCATCATAAAAGTGCATCTATCCATCATAAAAGTGCATCTATCCATCATAAAAGTGCATCTGTCCATCATAAAAGTGCATCTATCCATCATAAAAGTGTATCAATCCATCATAAAAGTGTATCTATCCATCATCAAAGTGCATCTATCCGTCATAAAAGTGCATCTATTTATGATAAAAGTGTATCTATCCATCATAAAAGTGTATCTATCCATCATAAAAGTGTATCTATCCATCATAAAAGTGCATCTATCCATCATAAAAGTGCATCTATCCATCATAAAAGTGCATCTATCCATCATAAAAGTGCATCTATCCATCATAATAGTGCATCTATCCATCATAATAGTGCATCTATCCATCATAAAAGTGTATCAATCCATCATAAAAGTGTATCCATCATCAAAGTGCATCTATCCGTCATAAAAGTGCATCTATTTATGATAAAAGTGTATCTATCCATCATAAAAGTGTATCTATCCATCATAAAAGTGTATCTATCCATCATAAAAGTGCATCTATCCATCATAAAAGTGCATCTATCCATCATAAAAGTGCATCTATCCATCATAATAGTGCATCTATCCATGATAAAATTAATATTTATATAATATTTGAATTTTAAAGTGAACTGCTCCTTTAAGTGAAGACTGATCCGTCTCTTTTCTCTCTACAGTGTTCATCTGAAGCGTCCATGATGACGTCGATAGTCACCGACACCGCGGAGGCCGTGGATCTGTGTCCGGAGAACAACCTCTACCTGAAGCCCATCGCCAAGATGACCATCAGCGTCGCTCTTCCTCACCTTAAGATGCCGGGGAAGTCCATCTCCAACTGGGAGGTGATGGAGAGGCTGAAGTCTATGGCTCATCCGGACCAGTTTTCCTCGCTCCGAATCTCCAAGAGCACCATGGACTTCATCCGCTTCGAGGGCGAAGTGGAGAACAGGAGCGTCGTGAAGCGAATCCTGAGCAAACTCGAGGGGAAAAGCATCAAGCTGAGCGGATTCACGGACGTCCTGAAGGTGCGCACAGCCGAGAACAAAACCGATTTCCCGACACGCCACGATTGGGATTCGTTTTTCCGGGACGCCAAGGACATGAACGAGACTGTGCCGGGGGAACGTCCCGATACCGTTCATCTCGAAGGCCTTCCTTGTAAATGGTTCGCCCAGAAGGACGGCTCTCCCGATAAGCCTTCGGAAGCGACGCTTAAAACCGTCTTCGAGCGGTTCGGAAAGATTCGTAACGTCGACATTCCCATGCTGGATCCCTACCGGGAAGAGATGACCGGGAAGAACTTCAACACGTTCTCGTTCGGAGGGCACTTGAACTTTGAGGGGTACGTGCAGTATCTGGATCACACGGGGTTCGTGAAGGCCATGGACTCTCTGAGAGGGATGAAGCTGATGCTGAAGGGGGATGATGGGAAAGCCGTGGCCTGCAGTATTAAGGTGAGTTTCTTTCGCCCTTCATGAGCTCGGAGATGGTTTTCAACTTAAACAAGTTACACGTTTTTATTTTATTTTTTATTCAGTTTTTTTATTTATTTAATCAGGGACGGTACACATTAAAGTAGAGATGTTCCGATACCCTTTTTCCCTTCCCGATACCGAGTACTGATCCGATACCTGGGTGTGTATCTATTAGGGTTCGGTTTGTATCACGGTTTTAGGGTCACGGTTTTCGGTTCTCTACGGTTCTTGTTGTTATTATTCTTTTAATCTTTAACACTCCAGAAATGTACTTCAGCATATGATATATAGCTTAATTATCCACAATTTAGGATACAGTATTAAAAAAAACGTTGACTTGACTTTAAGCACATTATTGGGACCATCTCCGAGGAAAGCTATAGGTGAGATTTTGATACAGCAAGAGAGAAGATATTGATGACATGCTTTTCGTTTATTTGGCAAAAAAAGGAGAATGTGTATCACTATCTCTACAGGAACTTCTGTGCATTTTTAGCACACGAAGATTGAAATTAACTTGCATTTATCAAACTGCCAACTTAAGTGTAGAGAGGAACTCTTAAAACTCTGTTTTTTAAATAAGTCAAAATACATGAAACATAATTTACTATAATTAGGCTATAGCAATAGCAAAGGCCATAATCATAAAGTGAAACATAAGTTCAACCTCAACACAAAAACAGTATCAACATTGGGTCTCATTCATGAAACATTCGTAAATATACGAGTAAATATGAGAGTGATTTGCGCATAAAGAGACCTTCCCGAAAACTCTTCTCCTGATTCACAAATACTTCGTAAACGTCAGATGTGAGAGTGAAATGTGTGTGTGTGTGTTAATGAATTCCAATCAGTTGTAAATGGGATGCGCGCGCACGCTCATTCTCAATTACCATAAATCCCGCCCATTAAATCAGACTGACAACTATATATGGGCATCATATTATGACATGAATGCGAATGAAAAAAAAATCTCAGATGCAGAAATTGAAGTTTTATTATCAGAAGTTCATTGAAAACGCCACATTTTATTTTCAAGCGTACATGGCGTATCGGGTCCTAAAAAAAGGAAGTTTGGCAGCATATTACAGATGCAGTTACTGGAGTTTCATCTGTTAATCGAACATTCCCAGAAGTGAGAAGAAAATGGTTCGACATTAAGCTTGAGAGCAAAAAACGAATTAGTTCACTTTGGAAAAATAGGATTCAAACTGGAGAAGGACCACCATCGCAGATGCTATTACTGGCTCTCATAATAAGAAAAAAACGTATGTAATTACTATTATAATATTTGTTCAAAATGCTGTGCAAATATGTACCCGATTAAGGTGAATTAAAATGTAGCCTTATTAATGAGCAAAACGTTCGGGTGTTAAACTCACTATTTACGCGTGGCTGGACCAGGTGTAGATTTCTTGTGTACCAACTAACATTTGGAAAATACGAACATTTTAATGAATCCGAACATTTACGCCAGAACCACTTTACACACGATTCACACACATTCGTTCTGCTCGTGTTTCATGAATGAGACCCAATGCTACTATTCCCTGAGAGTGAGGATACATTTTTTTCAATCCAAAATGTTCCCACACACCGGACTTATACGACGCTGGCGCATCCTCGTTAGCCTTCCTCATCTCTCCCACTTGCCACTTCTCCGCGTGCCGTGACCTGACACTCCATACTCCACCTTTACTGGCGTGTTCGAGTTGAACCGGCGCTGCACAGAGCGATCGGTGACTGACATCAAAGTACCGCGAGAGTGATTGGAAAGCATACGGAGCCGTCGCGCTCGCGGTACTCTGATGTCAGTCACCGATCGCTCTGTGCAGCGCCGGTTCAACTCGAACACGCCTCATATGTATGTCCACACACGTCTTATTTCGCGCGAAAAGGAAACACGTCTGAGGTCACATACGGGCACAAGGCTACATTGCGCATGCGTCGAACCGTGAGACCAGGGATGGAAATTAACTTTTTTGTCCACCGGCCACTGTGGCTGGTGGATTTCAAAATCTACCAGCCACTCAATGTTTTTACCAGCCACTTTCTTGTTTTTAACCGACAATGTGTAAGCATATGTGAAAATTAATACTACAAGATCTACAATACTTAAGCAGTTTATTCAATCTCAAGTCTCAATGAAATACTGACATTTTCTCACACACAAACCATGAACTGATATACATTGCGTTCACACCAGACGCGAATAGCGCGTCACATTCGCGCCTACCGCTTTGAATCCATTCGCGCGTCAAGAGCGAAATTGACGCGTGTAAAAAACAAAAGTTTGAAAATGATTTTGAAGTTTCAATCGTCACAGAGAGCAGCGGCAAAAGTTGACTTATTTTGAACTTTGACCGCGGCCTGCGCGCGAGCATGTCAATGGTGCGCCCCGCTGCGCTTGCGCGGCGCAAGCCATTGAAATGAATGGGTTTCATATTGCAGCGCATTCCGCGTCCTGTGTGAAAGGCCTATTACGCGTGTTAACGCCTGAGATGTAACGCCACTTTTTTTTTTGTGAAGGTGTGCCTCCTCTAAAAGTGTCCGCCAACAGGATGCTATTTTTATTTACCCGACACGGTGGCCGGTAGGTGAAGTGAGTTTACCCGCCACAACACAAAATCATCTGCATTTGGCTGGTGGCGGGTGCTAATTTCCATCCCTGTGTGAGACACACACACGCTCCGAACCGAGACAAGCGAACCGAACGGTTCGGGTGTTTTTTCATGTACCGTGCCACCCCTAGTATCTATACAGCTGCAATTCATACTAGCCCTGTATGAACTGATAGAATTATTTTATGGTGTGCTTCAGACTTATCCCTTAAAGCTCCAGTCCGGAACTTTTCCTCTTTGTCGCCCTCTCTCTTCGAAATCTGTAACTGCAGTGATTCGCGGAATTATCATCTTTACGTGGGTTGTAAATCGGCATGAAACAGCGCGGATGAACACAGTGCTTTGAGGCGAGTGCTGCTGTCAGTCACCGCGCTGTGTGGATACTGTCATACAGAATCACAGATTCACTTTTTGAAAGTTTGACCAACATAAGAATTTTCATAAGAAAATGTCTTCTGAACAAGTAAGTAACATCGATTTTTGTTCTGACCAACTAAGGGGGAAAAAGCCTTCGACATGATAAGCTTCGTTAGATTTAATCAACGCGATTTACAGCAACCGTGCAAATTATAGCCTACTTTGTTCTCAAATTCATGTTAACAACATCAGCATTGCGTGACTAATGTTAAATTTAATGTGTTTTATGGTTACCTGTGTAGTTCAGAATTCATATTCTCCATAATAGCAAAACGAGAAAGGCACAACAAAGGAAACTCCATAACTGTGTGAATTAAGAAAACGTACTGTTACACGATTGAACTATTGAAATGTCTTACTTGTTCAGCAGAAAAAAAGCCGTCTCTTCTTCCGTTTTGAACCCCTTCAAAACACGGAGTTCACGCACTTTATGTGAGGTAGGGCAAATAAGGGGGTTCGGGGTCTCCCCGAGAAAATTTTGATTTCTCTGATCTACATATGTGCATTTTAAGATGTTCTGAAGGCCAAAAAACTTGGATAGTGGGCAGCTGATTATTTTTCTCTCCTCATCAGCATCACACTCTTTTTCTCTTTGTTTTTATCTTGCCCTGTCTCTTCCCCTCCTAAAGCTGAGCTTTGACTGATATAGGCTTTTCATTTTTGTCTGTCAGTGAAGAAAGTAAACATAGGGTCAATTGATAGGTTGATTTTGCCTATGAATCATTTTCTCAGACGCGTTTATTTACTGAAAGCTACTAAAGGGAATTAAGTTTATTAAATGCATTCACAATATGTAGGCTACACATTTATTATTGATCTTATGCCTAACACAGGGCCGTAGACAGGGCTTTAGTCACAGAGGTCCTAAATTTGAGGTTGGTAGGGGGTTCAAATTTTTTATTTCTCTGATATGTGCATTTCAAGACGTTTGAAGACCAAAAAAGGATAAGAAATAGCTTTAAAACCATGTCAGTGGGCAGATTATTTGTCAATACCTGCTCTCTTCTCATCTCCATCACTCTTCCTTTTTTTCTCAGTCTCTTCATCCCTTTCTCTTCCCCTCCTAAAGCTGAGGTTTTTTAATTTACTAAAGGCTACAATTTGTATTATATCCTCAATATGTACACATTCATTATTAATCTTGTGCCTAACATGATGAAAACGCCTTTGTTAATGTTTCTTGTAAACTAATTATTACATTACATGAGTCACGTTACAGCCTATTTTCAGTTCAAAATGGCGAAATTAGACAAAACTATATTAGTTTGCCTGATTATTTTTTGTCATTCGTTTAACATTTATGACCTAAAAAAAGTAAAATATGAAATGTTAAGTTTAGCTACTTACATCTTATCTCGCACTTGACCGTACGCGTCGAGTCGCACTGTTAAAATTCGCGCTCAGCGTCTGTGAACATAAAGCCCGCCTACTTTGATTTGATTGGTCATCTCAAATATTCTGACATTGACGAGCAGTGACAGACCAATGAGGCTCAGATGAACACACATGAACACACACACACACACACACACCCTGTCCTCTGTTTCTGACGTGCTCTCTGTCGGCGCCGCTGCGGATTGAAGATGAAGAACGCGCTGAATCTGATTATAACAAGACTGAAGCGAACACGAATTTGTGTAGCCTACATTAATCGCACATTTTTAGGGGGGCTAGGCAGAAGTTTAGGGGGGCTGAAGCCCCCCTAAAAAGGGCCTAGTGACGCCCCTGTTACAAGCTAACCGTTTTGAATCTAGCTTTGGCAAGCAGATAGTTTTGACCACTGGCAGAATAAGTTTTTTTTAATATAATTATTTTGGATTATTTTTAACTTAAAAAAGTTACGGACTGGAGCTTTAATAAAACATGAACAAAAACATACAGTGAACTAGAGTATTTTTAAGTACCTTAGCAACCACCCGAACACCTTAGCAACCGCATAGCAACACCCTGGCAACCACCCTGAGTATCCTAGCAACCGCATAGCAACCAACCAAACTGAGTACCTTAGCAACCGCATAACAACCACCCTGAGTACCCTAGCAACCACATCTATCTATCTACTACTTTAAACTTTGATCTACTTTAAACTTCAAGCTTTTAAAACTTCTTCAAACTTGAAACTCTCTGGTCCGTCTTTTCTCAAGCCAACTTAAAGTTTGTCTCAACAAACTTTTTAATCTAGCTGAAACTAGCTGTTTTTTTTTATTACATTTTATTTTAATTTCAGTAAACATTTATATTAATGAAAATATTTTTAGTTTTAGTTGACGATAATAACCCTGGTCTGTGAATGCAAAGCACAGAAGAAAAGCTCGTGGAAATGTTTGGTTGATCGGCTCGACTCGAACACCGCTGCGCTCGTCAGGCGGATCATGTGAAGCACAGACACAAGAGGCTCGTGTTGATGAGTTCAGCAGAATAACACCGGCACCGTGAGGGCCTTTCATTAAGGACTGTATTATGATTTTCAATGTTCAAAGACAGCCGAGCCGACGGAAAGTTAAATTAACCGAGCGCTGTTCAATAAAGCGTGTTCGTTTGGGGAAACTCTGAAGTTAAAGTGTGTCAGTGTCACAAAACCTGTCAAGAACTCAGTTAATCCATAAACCAAAAAAACATGAATTATATTTTGCATAATGAGAATGAAGTCTATTTTCAGGACCATTACCTTTTTTTTAAGGCAATTAAACATTTTATTTGTAAACAAAATATACATATATAATGATATTTCGGTAATACTTTACAATAAGATTCATTAGTTAACATTACATGAACTAATAATGAACTGCACTTATACAGCATTTATTATTCTTTGTTAATGTTTTTTAAACTTTATTATAATTTTGTTAACATTAGTTAATGCACTGTGAACTAACATGAACAAACAATGAATAGCTGTATTTTTTTAAATAAAAAATTATTGACAAATATAGTAACAAATGTATTGCGTAAAGTGTTACCGATATTTCTAATTTAAATGCTAAAGTATTTGTACGTCATGGTAGAGTTTGTTGAACATGCTTATTTAAATATATATATTTATATATTTCACTTGAAAAGGATTTTAGACTGATGGAGCCATTAGTTCATACAGCAGTAAATATGAAGCTTTAAGATGTTAATTATGAGCCTAACCTGAACATTCATCCTCTCAGGTGACCTTTGACACGACGAAACACCTGAGTGATTCCTCGCTGAGGAAGCGACAGCAGGAGCGACTGAAACTGCAGGAGCTCGAGAAACAGCGAGAGGAGCAGAAACGCAGAGAGAAGGAGGAAGAGGAGCGGCGGAAGGAGGACGAGAGGTATGACCTTTAGTTTATACTCATCTGTCTATCTATCCATCATATATCCGTCCGTCAACTAGCGGGGTATCCTTCTGAAACATGCTAGCAATACGGTAATATATTTACTAGCAACTGCACTGCAACACTCTAGCAACCACCCAGAATATCCTCAAAACTGCATAGCAACACCCTAGCAACCATCCAGAATACCCTCAAAACTGCATAGCAACAATCTAGCAACCACCCAGAATACCCTCAAAAGGGCATAGCAACACCCTAGCAACCACCCAGAATACCCTCAAAACTGCATAGCAACACCCTTGCAACCACCGTAAGTATCCTAGCAACCGCATAGCAAGACCCTAGCAACCACCCTGAGTACCCTAGCTAGCAACCACAGAGAAGCACCATAGCAACCACCCCGAATACCCTAGAAACCACCCCGAGTATCCTAGCAACCATATGGCAACACACTTGCAACCATCCAGAATACCCTAGCAACCATAGCAAACTATTTGTCTGAGACTTAAAACCTTAAAGCTTTTCAAACTCTCTCTGTTTTTTTTTTCTCTCTAAACTATTTCACACTTATACTCTAAACTATTTCACCTAACTCTATTTATCACCTAACTCTATTTAACTTTATCACCTAACTCTATTTATCACCTAACTCTATTTTACTTTATCACCTAACTCTATTTATCACCCAACTTTATTTTACTTTATCACCTAACTCTATTTTACTTTATCACCTAACCTTATTTTCCTTTATCTCTATTTTACTTTATCACCTAACTCTACTTATCACCTAACTCTATTTTACTGTATCACCTAACTCTATTTAACTTTATCACGTAACTCTATTTATCACCTAACTCTATTTATCATCTAACTCTATTTTACTTTATCACCTAACTCTATTTTACTTTATCACCTAACTCTATTTTACTTTATCACCTAACTCTATTTATCACCTAACTCTATTTTACTGTATCACCTAACTCTATTTAACTTTATCACCTAACTCTATTTTACTTTATCACCTAACTCTATTTATCACCCAACTTTATTTTACTTTATCACCTAACTCTATTTTACTTTATCACCTAACCTTATTTTCCTTTATCTCTATTTTACTTTATCACCTAACTCTACTTATCACCTAACTCTATTTTACTGTATCACCTAACTCTATTTTACTTTATCACCTAACTCTATTTTACTTTATCACTTAACTCTATTTATCACCTAACTCTATTTTACTGTATCACCTAACTCTATTTAACTTTATCACCTAACTCTATTTATCACCTAACTCTATTTTACTTTATCACCTAACTCTATTTATCACCCAACTTTATTTTACTTTATCACCTAACTCTATTTTACTTTATCACCTAACCTTATTTTCCTTTATCTCTATTTTACTTTATCACCTAACTCTACTTATCACCTAACTCTATTTTACTGTATCACCTAACTCTATTTAACTTTATCACCTAACTCTATTTATCACCTAACTCTATTTTACTTTATCACCTAACTCTATTTATCACCCAACTTTATTTTACTTTATCACCTAACTCTATTTTACTTTATCACCTAACCTTATTTTCCTTTATCTCTATTTTACTTTATCACCTAACTCTATTTATCACCTAACTCTATTTTACTTTATCACCTAACTCTATTTATCACCCAACTTTATTTTACTTTATCACCTAACTCTATTTTACTTTATCACCTAACCTTATTTTCCTTTATCTCTATTTTACTTTATCACCTAACTCTACTTATCACCTAACTCTATTTTACTGTATCACCTAACTCTATTTAACTTTATCACGTAACTCTATTAATCACCTAACTCTATTTATCATCTAACTCTATTTTACTTTATCACCTAACTCTATTTTACTTTATCACCTAACTCTATTTTACTTTATCACCTAACTCTATTTATCACCTAACTCTATTTTACTGTATCACCTAACTCTATTTAACTTTATCACCTAACTCTATTTTACTTTATCACCTAACTCTATTTATCACCCAACTTTATTTTACTTTATCACCTAACTCTATTTTACTTTATCACCTAACCTTATTTTCCTTTATCTCTATTTTACTTTATCACCTAACTCTACTTATCACCTAACTCTATTTTACTGTATCACCTAACTCTATTTATCACCTAACTCTATTTATCATCTAACTCTATTTATCACCTAACTCTATTTTACTTTATCACCTAACTCTATTTTACTTTATCACCTAACTCTAATTTACTTTATTACCTAACTCTATTTATCACCCAACTTTATTTTACTTTAATTGCCAAGCTTTATTTTACTGGACACGTTTAAAGAACGTCCAGTGATCAGTGAGTGTGGATGGTGTTTCAGGAAACAGCGTGAGCAGGAGGAGCAGGAGAAGGAGAGAAAGAGGGAGGAGAAACTGCGCAAACGAGAGCAGAAGATCAAGGAGAAAGAGGAGAAGAAGAACCAGAAGAAGATGAAGAAGCAGCAGGAGGAAGAACAGAAGAAGCTCCAGCAGAAGATCGTGATGGAGGAGAGGAAACTCTTGCTGGCTCAGAGGAACCTGGAGTCCATCCGGCTCATCGCGGAGTTACTGAGCCGAGCAAAGGTGCGTCACATGACCTCGGACAACACCCCTTTCAGTGCTTTCATTGGCTACGTTTACATGCAACCAAACAATCCGTTAGAAATCGGCTCAGTCGGACTGGAAAGTCTTCGTATAAACACCTTAATCGATCCGATTGAGCTCGATCTGATTGAAAGGGGTGGTGTATTTCTTTCTGATAAGATCGAGAGAACGTGTAAACACTTGATCGGATTGAAAACAGTGTGTGAAACTTAACCCTCTGGGGATGGATTGGGCGGTACCGCCCAAAATGGCATACTTTTACAAATGTGTAAATATCTTAAAAACTATTAATGATAGAGAGGTCTTTTTTACCGTCTTCCTCAGATTCCGCTGAAAACAGTGATAACTCACCCGGCTTGTAAATATACACACTTCCTTGTTGCGCAATACCACTGTGTAAAGGGCCAATGAAATTGATGTTGTTTGGCAGATTCCGCAAGCAACAACCAATGGAAAAATTGCCGATGGAGAAATATTTTTATTACCCAATCAGAGGAAGGTTACCATGACGTATCTAGCAAATCAGAGGACTCTGTAGCCTTGCAAGGGGTGGTACTATATAGTTAGGGATATGACGCAAACAGCGTTGAATGGAGAGAAGGGGAGAGTGAACGGAGGCTTACGGAGCGGATTATCAGAGAAATATGAGAGAGAGACAGAACAATTATAATATATATATATATATATATATATATATATATATATATACATACAATTATAGCATTATTTATTGGTTTAGTACTTTTATGATGGCAAGCAGTAAACGATTTACAGTGGAACAAGCTCTGGAACAATTACTGGAGAGTGACGAGGAGAAAGCATTGCTTAGAAAATTCTAAGCATTCCTAAGAAAAACGCCTAGGACTATTTGTAAATGAAGTTGCATTTTTCATTGTTCTTTACACATTTTATTTAACAATTACACATATCTGTCAAGCAAAGGCTTTGACAAATATATTTTTTGTTTAAAAACTGTTCACTATTGTTGTGTGATGTGTGATTTTCAGAAACAAACGACAAAAATCTAATTTCCGTTTTGGAAATTCTCTAGTTTATTGTACATTGTTCACTCATACTTCCGTTATAAACACATTACATGCATGCTTATGTTAGCTTAGGGTCTTCTGAATCCATAGATACCAAACACATAGTGTTCCATCTCCATTACAAATGGTTTATAAGCCCAAATGTAAAAATAGAGAAAACGGACCAAAAAGGGCTTCGTCCCCAGAGGGTTAAAGGACTGCGAATGTGCAATGACGTAGAAATAGAGTTATGACGAGCTGAACGAGCTGTTCTTCCTGTTGAATAAAGTGTCGTATAAATGAGTTTCCAGTCATTCTATAATCCTCCTTTCACTGTGAAGTGGAGCAGGACAGCGGCCCACCAGTGCTGGTTTCAGACTCTCATCCACAGACGACTGGTTTTGGGCATTTTTACTGCGTGATAAATATAAGTAGCCAATAAGAATTGGAAACAGATTTCATAGGGCCATTTTTAAATCATATCAAGTTTCATGATTTAAATTATTTAGACATTCTTTTATGATGACAACATTTTTATTTAATCATTAAAACAGAGTCCAGAAAAATTTAAATGGAAAAAACGGAATTTGGAACAAAATAAAATGGAATTTGTGAAAAAAATAAAAGGCTTTCATAGCGCCTTAAAATGTCCTTTTTCTTGAATTTTTTTAAAAAAATTGTTAAAGTGTATAAGTGTCATGATTTCAGTTTAGTCATGCTTTTTTATTACAAAAATTTTAATTAATCGTTTAAAAAAAACTTAAATGGAATTTGGACAAAAATAAAAAAATACATTTTTATATTTCTTATACAATTTAACAGTGGGCTATTAAAAGTTTAAGTTTCATGTTTTTAATGAAATAGACGTTCTTTTATAATTACTAAAAATTTAATTTAACCATTAAAACAGAGTCCATAAAAATTAAAAAGGAAAAAACGGAATTCGGAACAAAATCAAGCGTATTTCATGAAACCGGTTTGATTGAAGTGTGTGTGTGTGTGTGTGTGTGTGTGTGTGTGTTCTCAGAGCCTGAAGCAGCAGCAGCAGGAGCAGCAGAAGGCGGAGCAGGAGCGTCTCCATCAGCTGGAGGAGAGCAGACGACAGCAGGAGGAGGAGCTGAGGCGCGTCGAGGCCGAGAAGAAGCGAACGCTCGAGCTCCAGAGGAAAGAGCGTGAGCTGCGGGACCGACTCCTGGGAAACCTGCTGAAGAAGAGCACCAACACCGACGAGAACGAGATCGAGAGCGCTCCCGCCATCGACCTGGACCTGCAGATCTGTCACGCGCAGGTCAACGGCGACGAGATCAAGCCGGACAACCAGGACAGCAAACCAAAGAAACCGGAGAGCGTGGAGGAACGAGCAGACGGAGAGAGACGGGAGCGAAGGAATCATACACGACGTCACGGGAGGCGGAGTCAGAGTCGTGGGAGGCGGAGTCACAGCAGCGGGAAGCGGAGTCAGAGTCGCGGGAGGCGGAGTCATAGCAACGGTACGCGGAGTCACAGCAACGGGAGGCGGAGTCACAGTCCCGGGAGGCGGAGTCACAGTCCCGGGAGGCGGAGTCACAGTCGTAACGGGCGGAGCCGCCGAGCCACGAGACACCGGCGCCACCGGGCGAGGAAGGACAGTCACGGGCCGAGCAGCAGCAAGAGTCACAGCAGCAACAGCAGGAGCCGCTCGTCCAGTCGAGGACGCCGCCGACACTCGCATCACCGATCCAGACGACACTGAGAGAAGATAAAGCTGCTGTGCGAGGCGAAACACGTCCTGGTCACGTTCAACACACCAATACAAGGGAAAATAAGAAATTGTCTTTTGCATAAAGTAAAATGAGGCCTGCTTTTTAGGATCAGTAAGATTTCATTAATTTTTCCTCAACAAATTATATTTTTCATAACAAATATGAAGCCTGTTTTAGGATAAATAAGATTTTATTTTTTCATTTTCTTTCCCTTAGCAAATTATATATTTTTCATAATGGAAAATTAGGCCTGTTTTAAAATTGTAATTTTTTTTTTTTTTTTTTTTTTTTTAAAGACATGAAGCCTGTTTAGGATAATTAAGGTTTTATTTAATTTTTCATTATTTTCCCCTAGTGAATTATATTTTTCATAATGAAAATTAGGCCTCTTTTAGTTTTTTTTGTTTTTTTTTCTCCATAAAAGACAATTATAATAATAATTAGGGTTTTATTTAATTTTTCGTTATTTTCCCCTAGCGAATTATATTTTTCATAATGAAAAATTATGCTTGTTTTTGGATTATATTTTTTATTTTTATTTTTCCCAGAATTAGTTTTTTTCTTCATAAGAGACATGAAGCCCATTTAGGATCATTAAGATTTTATTTTAATTATTTTTCCCCTAACAAGTTATATTTTTCTTAATGAAAAGTACGCCTGTTTTAGGATTGTATTTTCTTTTCTCATAAAAATCATGAAGCTTGTTTTAGGATCGTTCAGATTTGTAAAAAAAAAAAAAAAAAAAAGGATTTCACAGCCAATTATATTTTTCATAAAGAAAATAAGTTTTTGGATCAATAATAATACAACTAATATATTATTACTTTATCAATTTTTATTTCAATACAATGTCACCATGCAAAACAATCCCTAAATATTGTCTCTTATTAAAGGCCTCATTTCCTTTAAACCGAACATGAATTTCTTCCTTTTTTTGAGGTGAACTGTGACCTGGACGTGTTCTGGACCGGTTTGTAAGATTCACTGCTTGAATTAAACGCTACAGTATCATGACAGGTATCTTGAACTTATCTGACTGTATTTTTCCTATTAGTATCACGTTTTCTTTTTTAAGTTTGCCTTACAAAGACTGAAGCTTTGATTGTTGTAGTCTGTGCCACAGATTTTCTCGAAGAGTGTTTCGTTCAGCGTTATTAAACTCCATAGACTTGGTTTATGACTTGAATTTTACTTTTTTGAAAGTGTTTATTATCTGTTCATTTCCAGCATCTCAATGCAGTTTTGTATAGGACTCTTAATCTTCTGTAGAAGTTTGATTTATAGTGTTTTTTTAAATGGGAAATCCAGCTTTGTTTTCCTCGGCACAAGCACAGGACTTGATTTAGGCTGGAAACGCACATGTAAAGTCGTTACGAAGACTGTTTTATGGCAGAAGCGCCACTGAAGGACATGTTTGTCACTCGTTTTAACTCGAGTTACCTTCCCGGCAGGACTCAATAAAGCAGTGCTTTGGATTATAGCAAGTATCTTGATTCATTTTACATCGTTAAACCGCATGCAAAACTGGCTTTCAATAAAACTTGGCTGCTTATGCAGTAGAAATGTGAAAACTTTTATGAAATCGCTGCTACCTTACTAGAGAAAACAGAGACAAAAGGCTGTCTTTTGTCAAATAGGTATAACTTCAACACCCATAATGCACTGGGCTTGCCGTCCAAGGCCACTCCCATCAGTCTGCTATGGATGTGCTTAAAGTCCCCATGAAATCAAAATAGAGTTTTTTTGGGCTTTTAGTATGAATATGTTAGCCTTACTGTTATCTATAAGCTAGTGTGCTCCAAAACAATGACAAAATTCACATTTAGAAGATATAAGCGTTCAAAACTTAGTCTCTCACTTCATCAATATGGATTGGTGAATAAATCAATAAATTATTGGTCATCAATAATTTTGATGACATCATTCTGCACTTCAGCTTCTCATCAGATTTCCTGTCCAATCAAATGCTCTCTAGAATCTGAAGCTCCGCCCCCTACACTAAATAGACACTGAAGCTGCAACTGAAATCAGTCACTTGTTCACACTATATAACTTGTGTACACTATTGTTCACACTAGTATGTTCTACATGCTGAAGGCACAGAGTGCACTATATAGAGGATAGGGAACGATTTAGACTGTAAATATGTTTTCCATCGGGGCGAATGAAGTTTGGTTTATAAACTGAAGCTGTGATATAAACTAAACGCTATTGGCTACTTTAAAAAAGGGGAGGAGCATATGCCAAGTCACATTCGTTTATATAACGCTTTTAACAATACAGAAACAATGTTTCAAAGCAGCTTTACAGTGATAATAGGAAATTAACTAACAGAGATTGTTTTGGCTTTACAGCAGCTCTAGAAATTAAAATTACTAAAAATTAAATTAATTACTACTAGCAATTAAAATGTATGAGTACAAAATTAAAATCTGACAGTTCTGCTAACTTAAACTTTAAATTTCTTAACTTAAAAAGTGAAGCAACTGATTGCCTCAATTTTTTTGAGTTTTGCTTATTCGGGTTTATGGTGTAAAGTTTAAATATAAACAATAAACCCTTTTGAATTGGATTTTTAAAAATATATCGCTGAAAGAGAGAGCGCAAGCTAAACAATCATCAGTATTTATTATGACAAAACAAACTTGAAGAACATTTAAAGTTCAGCGTTCTGCTTTAGATTTCAATACTTCCTGAAAAAGATAAACATATAAAGCCACAAATAAGTAAATCTCACAAGCTATATATAGAAAATCAGTTTGTGAGAAATGAGATCATCGATGAGGAACTTGATGTGTGAATATGAGCTTGATCTCGTTCAGCTCTTCTGGATCTGATTTCATAAACCAGAAGAATGACAGTAGCCACGCCCACCAGAGCAGAGAGGACCAATCGGATCACAGCTTCAGTAGGACCACACCAGTGGACAGAGTCTGAGGAATAAAAGCATCAAACTGACATCAGATCAGTTCATAAACGCTAATATCATGAATATTTGAAGGACAGGAAAAACAATCTCTGTACTCACCATAGACAGAAACTCGGAAAGCTTTTAATAACAGTGTTTCCTCATTATCTGTAGTTTATAATCTCCAGCATGTTCAGTTGTGATGTTTATGATGGTCAGAGATCCAGTTTGATTGTTCAGCTTCAGTCTGTCTCTGAATCTCCCATCAAGAACATCTTCATATACAGTGATTCTGTCGGCCCGTTTATTGATTTCAGCGATTAAAGTGTTTTCATCTCCAGACATCCACCAAATCCAATCACCATCCTTCATTTCTGTAAGATCAGTGTTTAGAGTGAGTGATTCTCCCTCCTTCACCAACACTGACTTCTGTTCTGTAACATCAAACACACCTGAAGAACAGAGTTTTTCACAGATTAAAGTAGGGCTGGGCGATAAATCGATTTTATCGATCTCGAATGTGTAGTTTACGCCGATTTTTTTGAATGAAAATCGGTTTTCTCTTTAACAACCGCCGACGCGCCAATCATGGGCTCCCGTAGTTCCGACCGGGCTCAGCGCTTGCCATGATAGAGATACTCAAACAACATGGCAAATGAACAAGACCGCGGCATCAGAAGCACACCCGGCGAAAACATTTACAATCTGAATCTGCAGGGCCGCCAACTCTCACGAGTTCACTGTGAGAGACGCAATTGTCACTTTTTACACGCTCTCACGCACACATCCATTTTCTAACGCAGAGAAACATCGTGAAGCAAAGATCAAGAGGACACTGACACCGACAGACTAGACAGAGCAGGTTACTATTGATATGAAACAGATTCTCACCTCTCAGATTCGGTCAATTTTAATACGAAATTCAAACAATAAACACAGTTTTGGCGCTTGTAAATGTGACGTGAAAGATCGCTGACAGATCTCAGTTCAAGCGGCACATGAACCGATCGTCTGTTACTCATTACTACTAACTTACCCAAATGTAGCTAATAAAATCGATCGATCAGTGTTTTTCAACCGCGGAAAGATGTCCATAAAACAGCTGGAGAACAACATATATGTCACGTAACGTTACATTTACCTCAGGATGCCTTTTAATGACCCATAGCACGCACGTTAGTTGGACTTAAAATAATCGCTACAGAGAGGAGTATTTTGTTAAATATGATAACTATATTACACATTTATTATATTTTACCTATATCATTAAAATATTATAACGTTGTTTGTTATTATAAAAAACGCATTATGTTTAATTTGAGTTAGTTTGAACCTTTAATAATAATAGCTGACAGGGCTCTCTGTATGTTTACAGCAGGTGATTTATTTTTGGAGAAAAATTAACATAACACATTAACGTATCTACTGTACCTAATATTTAGATAGATTATCTTTCTCTCAAAATCGTTCAATACTGTTTATGCATCAGTAAATCAAGTGACTAAACAATCTCAATCTCAATCTTTGCTCGCGCCTTATAATTCAGCCGCAATTTTCACCCCGCGAGAACAATTACAATGCTTTACAACCATAGAACAAAAAGAGTTAAATAAACTTATCACTTCATCTAAAACAACAACATGTTTATTAGATCCTATACCAACTAAACTATTGAAAGAAGTGTTACATAGTGGAAGAGCCTCTTCTCAATATCATTAACTCATCTTTATCTTTAGGTCATGTTCCAAGAACGTTCAAGCTGGCAGTAATAAAACCTCTTATTAAGAAACCACAATTAGACCCAAATAACCTAGCAAACTACAGACCCATCTCAAATCTTACATTAATGTCAAAAATATTAGAAAAAGTTGTGTCCGCTCAACTCGGCTCTTTCTTGCAAGAAAACGACATCTATGAAAAGTTTCAGTCTGGATTCAGGCCACATCATAGCACTGAAACTGCACTTGCTAGAATCACAAATGATTTACTTTTAGCTTCGGACCAAGGCTGTATCTCAGTACTAGTTTTACTTGATCTTAGTGCTGCGTTCGATACTATTGATCACACAATACTCTTAGATCGACTACAAAATTACACTGGTGTTCAAGGACAAGCATTAAGCTGGTTCAGGTCATACTTATCCGACCGCTACCATTTCGTCTACTTAAATGGAGAAAAATCTATCGTAACTTCGGCAAACTATGGAGTGCCGCAGGGATCTGTGTTAGGCCCTTTATTATTCTCAATATATATGCTGCCACTTGGTAATATTCTAAGGAAACATGGAATTAGTTTCCATTGT